TATTTACAACTAATTGATGACAACCAGTTACAGATTTCTTTATTCCTTCTTCATTCCCGCTACTTCACTTGACTAGCCTTAAAAAAAATAAAGAAGTAAATAAAATAAAAAAGATTCTGATATGTAGTGTTTTCAGTGTCATTATTTCTTTAAAAATGTATAATTTTGGCTGGGCTCACGCCTGTAATCCCAGCACCTTGGGAGGCCGATGTGGGCAGATTACCTGAGGTCGGGAGTTTAAGACCAGCCTGACCAACATGGAGAAACCCTGTCTCTACTAAAAAAATACAAAATTAGCTGGGCATGTTGGCTCATGCCTATAATCCCAGCTACTTGGGAGGCTGAGGCAGGAGAATCACTTGAACCTGGGAGGCGGAGGTTGCAGTGAGCTGGGATTGTGCCATTGCACTCCAGCCTGGGCAACAAGAGTGAAACTGTCTCAAAAAAAATAAAAAAGTATAATTTTAGTTCTAGAATACCCAGGAGTTGCTTAATAGTAGGCTATTAAATTTCTAGATGGAAAAGCCTTTCTGTTTTTTAAATTTTTGTTCATAAATTCTTGTTTTATTGCATTATAATCAGACATATTGTTTGTAATATTTCCACTTTATTGAAGGGGAAATATTTTTTCTTTGTGACCTAATATATGATTATTTTGATGAATGTGGTGTGAGCAGTTGAGAAGAAACTGTATTCATTAGTATCAGAGTGTAGAGTTTGATAAACAACCCTAAGAGTTACTCTATTGAGTATGTTGTTTAGATCTTAGGTCTCCTTATTTTTGGTTCACCTAATCTGTCTTGTACAAAGAATGGTGTATTATAGTCTCCTATTATTAGTGTGTTTCCAGTGTCTTCTCGCATCTCCTATAGTTTTTGTCTCATGAAGGTGATTGCTGTATTATGTTTATATAAATACATATATTTATATGTTAGCTCTTCATTGTGGGGTAAGGCTTTTAGGATTAAAAAATATCTTTTTGTGTCACAGTTAATGCTTTAGGACATGGATTCTGCTTTGCCTGAGACCAGGATTGCCATCCCCGGCCTTTTTTTTTTTTTTTTTGTGATGGAGTCTCACACCGTTGCCCAGGCTGGAGTACAGTGGCGCGATCTTGGCTCACTGCAACTTCTGCCTCCAGGGTTCAAGCGATTCTCCTGCCTCAGCCTATCGAGTAGCTGGGACTACAGACGTCCGCTACTATGCCTGGCTAATTTTGTTTTTTTTTTTTTTTTTCGTATTTTTAGTAGAGACTGGGTCTCACCGTGCTAGCCAGGATGGTCTCGATTTCCTGACTCCGCTGTACACCCGCCTCGGCCTCCCAAAGTGCTGGGATTACAAGCATGAGCCACCTTGCCTGGCGACCTACTCTCTTTATTTCCATTTGCCTCATGTACTTTTTCCAGCCATTTATTTATTTACTTATTTATTTAGAGACTGGGTCTCGCTCTGTCGCCCAGGCTGGAGTGCAGTGGCGTGATCTTGGCTTACTTAAGCTCCGCCTCCTGGATTCAAGTGATTCTCCTGCCTCAGCCTCCCGAGTAGCTGGGACTGTAGGTGCGTGCCGCCGTGTCCAGCTACATTTTTTAATATTTTTAGTGGAGACGGGGTTTTGCCATGTTTGCCAGGCTGGTCTTCTGACCTCAGGTGATCCACCCACCTTGACCTCCCAAAGTACTGGGATTACAGGCATGAGCCACCATGCCCAGCTAATTTTTTTGTATTTTTAGTAGATACGGGGTTTTGCCTTGTTGGCCAAGCTGGTCTTGAACTCCTGACTTCCGGTGATCCACCCGCCTGCCGTGGCCTCCCAAAGTGCTGGGGCTATAGACGTGAGCCACCATGCCCGGCCTAACCTTTTTTTTTTAACCGTTCAGAATCACTTTGAGGCTGGGTGTTGTGGCTCATGCCTGTAATCCCAGCACTTCAGGAGGCCAAGGCAGGCGGATCACCTGAGGTCAGGAGTTCGAGATCAGCTTGGCCAACATGGCGAAACCCTGTCTCCACTAAAAATACAAAAAAATTTAGCTGGGCATGGTGGTGCACACCTGTAGAACCAGTTCAAGCACGGGAATTGCTTGAACTCGGAGGTGGAGGTTGCAGTGAGCAGAGATCGTGCTGCTGCAGGGCAACAGAGAGAGCCTCAAAAAAAAAAAAAAAAAAAAAAAAAGGAAATCACCTTGGTTTAGATGTGTCTTTTGTGTTGTAAAAGTCGTTGAGGTTTCTTTTGTTAGTCAAATTGAAAATTTTTATTGTAATAGGTGGATTAAACCCACCCACATTTATTGTTAGGACTGAAAAATTTGACCTCAAATCCATCATAATATTTTATAATTATGTGTATTTGTTATCTTTGCCATTTCTCTATGAGAAGTAGATATTTTGCTCTTTTATTACAAAATTAGGGTGTGTGTGGGGGGGTATTTAGGAAGGTTTGCATTTTTGTTCTAATCATTTACCTTTGTACTTACACCTTTTAAAATGCCCTCACTCCTTTGTTTGCTTATTTATCTGTGCATGTGTGCATGCGTGTATGTGTGCATGCGTGCGTGTGTGTGTGAAATTGCATCTATGTGATCAAAGTAAGATAATGATAGGCAACTGTGGAATTCTGTGTCTACTTCGTGCTCCTCCTTACTGAAGAACTGGCAATAACAGATAACAGCTACCCACCGTGGCCAGAATAATAATCCATGATGGTCTCTTCAGGTCTACCTTCCCCTTCTCACTATTCTACTGATTGTGCTCTTTTTCTGTGGGCTCTGACTTGTTGCGTTTCTGTGATGGGAGTGTGGCTTTTTGTTTGTTTGTCTGTTTGTTTGTTGTTGTTGGAGAGAGGAGGTTTCACTGTGTTGCCCAGGCTGGTCTCTAACTTCTGGGCTCAAGCCATCTGCCTGCCGAAGTGTTAGGATTACAGGCATGAGCCACCACGCCCAGCCTGAGGCTTCTTTGTTGCAAAGGCTTTCCTGGGGAATTTTTATTCTTTGCATTTGTAAATGCTGAATTCACATTTAGTGTGGAATCTCTGTCAGTTGATTTTTTTTCTGTAACAGCTTTGTTGAGATAGAATTAACATAACACAATTTACCCATTTAAAGTGTACAATTCAGTGTTTTCAGTATATTCGTAGAGTGTGCAACCATCACTACAGTCTAATTTTAGAACATTGTCTTCATCCCAAAAAGAAACTCTGTGCCCATTAGCCATCATTTCTCATCCCCCCAACCCCTTCTTCCACCCAGGCAACCACCAGTCTACTTTTTGTTTCTATGGATTTGCTTATTCTGGACATTTCACATAAAGGGAATCATATAATAGTGGTCTTTTGTGACTGGCTTTTTTCACTTAGCATAATGTTTTCCAGGTTTGTCTGTGTTGTAGCATGTATTGGTACTTCATTCCCTTTTATGGTCAAATGATACATATTCCATTGTATGGGTATATTAATACTACATTATATTCATTCATTCATCTTGCACATTTGGGTTGTTTCCACCTTTTGGCTATTATGAAAAATGTTCCTATGGATATTTGTGTACAAGTTTTGTGTAGACATGTTTTCATTTCTCCTGGGTACCTATCTAGGAGTGGAATAGTTGGGTCATATAGTAACTCTATGTTTAACTTGTGGGGGAACTGCCAAACTTTTCCAAGTGGCTTCTCTATTTTACATTTCTACCAGGAATGTATGAGGGTTCCAATATTTCTACATCCCTGAAACACTTGTTATTTTGATGATGCCCAGTTTTATCTATTTTTTCTTTTGTTGCTTTGTTTTTTGTTTTGTTTTGTTTTTTTTTTTTTGTAGCAGCAATTGGAAATAATGTTGCTTTGTTTTTGATGTCCTAACTTAAAAATCATTTCCTGATCCAAGATCACACAGATTATTTTTATGTTTTTTTTCTAAGTTTTGTAGATTTAGCACTTACATTTAGGTCCTTAATCCATTTTGAGTTAATTTTTGTATATGGTGTGAGGTAGGGCCAAGCTTTAACCTATTGCTTGTGGATATCCAGTTGTCTTAGCACCCTGTGTTGATTTGTTTAACCTCTTAATATCTGGTGTATCTTTTTTTTTCCTGCCAGTATCCCTTAAACTCACCTATAGTGTACATAGCAGTGGAACTGCTTCTACCATTCTCTCTTGCTTTCTCTTCTTCTCCCATTTTCTAGTTGTAGTTTCTTTTTTTAACTCTGTCACAATGTGTAGCAATTTTTTTTTTTTTTTGAGACGGAGTCTTACTCTGTCACCCAGGCTGGAGTGCAGTGGTGCAGTCTTGGCTCACTGCAACCTCTGCCTCCCAGGATCAAGTGATTCTTCTACCTCAGCCTCCCAAGTAGCTGGGACTACAGGTGTGCAACACCACGCCTTCTAATTTTTTGTATTTTTAGTAGAGATGGGGTTTCACCATGTTGGCCAGGCTGGTTTCCAACTCCTGACCTCAGGTGATCCACCCGCCTCGGCCTCCCAAAGTGCTAGGATTACAGGTGTGAGCCACTGTGCCTGGCCAGTGTGTAGCAATTTTACACTAATCTTCCACCTTCATCCTTATCTTTCTTTTAGTGTCTTATATGTACATTTACACATTTTTAAATGCTCACCAGCAGTCCTTTTGCTGACATTTCCCCCATTTAATTGAATAAAGCTCATCCTCCAGTATATTCCTCAGGAAGGGTTAGTGAGTGCAGAATTCCCTATACCCTTGTAAGTTGAAAACTGTTTTTCTTGTTGCCTTAATGTTTAAGGAACATCTTAACTGATGTAAAATCCTTGGCTCACATTACTTTCATTGAGTTTTATTTTTTAGTGCTGCTCTGTTTCTCACCTTGCCTTGTATTTTGTTTTTGAAAAATCTCATAATCTGATACTGATCCAGTTCTTTTGAACTTGTAAGTTATTTATTCTTTTTGCCTGGAAGTCTTGAGAATTTTATCTTTATATTTGAAATCAAATAGTTTTTACTAGGCTGTATTTCAGACTTATTTGTTCTAGATTAATTTTCCTAGGTACCTGGTGAGCCCTTAAATGTGTAGATTCAGGTATCTTAGGTATTTTAAAATTTCTGGAATGTTTTCTTGCATTCTGAGCGAATTATAGTTTTAAATACTAGTTCAGTTCTATTATTTGGTTTTTCTTCTTCAGGACTGCAATTACATGAATAAATATTGGTTTTTTCTATACCTATTTGCTATTTTCACTACTTTCTCTCTGACCCTTTCTTTCCTTCTCCCCACTCCTCTTTCTCTCTCTCTCTCTCTCGCCCTCTCTTCCTCTCCCTCAATGTCATTTTTTATTTTCTCTGTTGTTTTCATGCCTGTCTTCAATGTTCCTTATTAAGTTTTAATCTGAGTTTATTCTCCCTTGGACATATTGTAATTTATTCCTCATTTTTCGGATAGTTGAGTCTTTTTCTCCCATTTTTTTTATTGAGTCCCAACTTTTATTCTTTCATTTTTCCATTTTTTGTTTGTTTTTCATCTATTTTTTTCTTAGTTTGTGAACTTCTGATTCAAGGTAGGTTTTTTAGTATCCTCCAATGCTTTTGAATATATTTAATTCTATTTGTACTACAGGCATACCTCAGAGATACTGCGGGTTTGGTTCCAGACCACCACAATAAAATGAATATTGTAATAAAGTGAGTCACACAATTTTTTGTTTCCTGGTGCACATAAAAGTTATGTTTATGCTATACTGTAGTTTGTTAAATGTGCAATAGCATTATGTCTAAAACAATACGTACCTTAATTAAAAAATACATTATTGCTAAAAATAAAATTGCTGATGGTCCTCTAAGCCTTCAGTGGTGCATCATCTTTCTGCTGATGAAGGGTTTTGCCTTAGTGTTATGGGCTCATGACCGATCAGGGGTTGGTTGTTGAAGGTTGGGGTAGCTAGGGCAATTTTTGGAGGGGGAGCGGAGTCTTGCTCTGTCACCCAAGCTGGAGTGCAGTGGCACAATTGTGGCTCACTGGAACCTCCATCTCCTGGAGGTTCAAGTGATTCTCCTGCCTCAGCCTTCCAAGTAGCTGGGACTACAGGTGTGTGCCACCACACTCAGCTAATTTTTATATTTTTAGTAGAGATGGGTTTTCACCATATTAGCCAGGCTGGTCTCGAACTCCTGGCCACAACTGATTTGCCCGCGTTGGCCTCCCAAAGGGCTGGGATTACAGGCATGAGCTACCACACCCAGCCTAGGGCAATTTCTTAAAATAAGACAACAATAAGGTTCGTTGCATCAATCAACTCTTCCTTTTACAAAAGATTTCTCTGGCTGGATGCTTTGGCTCACCCCCGTAATCCCAGCACTTTGGGAGGCTAAGGCAGGAGTATCTCTTGAGGCCAGGAGATCAAGACTAGCCTGGGCAACAAAGTGAAACCCCATCTCTGAAAAAAATAAGACAAAAAAAATTAAATAAGAGAGTTCTCTGTAGCATAGATGCTGTTTGATAGCATTTTACTCACAGTAGAACTTCCATCAAAATTAAAGTAAACCAGTCAAATCCTGCTACTGCTTTATCAACTAAACATATGTAATATTCTAAATCCTTTTTTGTAATTTCAACAATGTTCATAGCATCTTCACCAGGAGGAGATTCCAATCAAGAAACCACTTTCTTTGTTTATCTCTAAGAAGCAACTCTGCATACATCCAAGTTTGATCATGAGACTGCAGCAATTTAGTCACATCTTCAGGCTTTACTTTCTATTCTAGCTCTCTTGGTGTTTCTACCACATCTGCATTGACTTCCTCCACTGAAGTCTTGAACCCCTCAAAATCATCCATGAGAGCTGGAATCAACTTCTTCCAAACCCCTGTTAATATTGACATTTTGACTTCCTCCCATGAGTCATGAATGTTCTTAATGGCATCTAGAATGGTGAATCCTTTCCAGAAGGTTTTAAATTGACTTTCCCCAGATCCATCAGAGGAATCACTATCAATGGCAGCTATAGTCTTACAAAACATATTTCTTAAATAACAAGACTTGAAAGTCAAAATTACTCCTTGATCTATGGGCTACAGAATGAATGCTGTGTTAGCAGGCACAAAAACAGCATTAATCTCCTTGTATATCTCCATCAGAACTCTTGGTGACCAGGTGCATTGTTAATGAGCAGTAATATTTTGAAAGGAATCTTGGTTTTTTTTTGTTTTTTGTTTTTTTTCCCTGAGCAGTAGGTCTCAACAGTGGGCTTAAAATATTCAGTAAACCATGCTCTAAACAGAGGTTCTGTCACTCAGGCTTTGTTGTCCCATTTATGGAGCACAGGCAGAGTTAGTGTAATTCTTAAGGGCCCCAGGATTTTTAGAATGGTTAGTGAACATTGGCTTCAACTGGAAGTCACAGCTGCATTAGCCCGTAACAAGAGAGTCAGCCTGTCCTTTAAAGCTTTGAGGCCAGGCATTTACCTCTCTAACTGTGAAAGTTCCATCTTCGTTCAAGAGAAGGCTGTTTGATCTACACTGAAAACCTATTGTTTAACGTAACCACCTTCGTCAATGATCTTCTGGATAACTTGCTGCAGCTTCTCCATCAGCACTTGCTGCCTCACTTTGCCCTTTTATGTTATGGCGATAGCTTCTTTCCTTAAACCTCACAAGCTAACCTCTGCTGATTTCCAACTTTGCTTCTGCAGCTTCCTTACCTCTCTCAGCCTTCACAGAATTGAATGGAGTTAGAGTCTTGCTCTGGATTGGGCTTTGGCTTAAGGGAACGTTGTGGCTGGTTTGAGCTTCTATCCATACCACTCAAACTTTCTCCGTATCAGCAATAAGGCTGTTTCACTTTCTTATACATGTATTCACTTAAGTAACACATTTAATTTCCTTCAAGAACGTTTGCTTTGCATCCACAACTTGGCTGTTTGGCCCAAGAAGCCTAGTTTTTGGCCTTTCCCAGTTTTCGATGAGCCTTCCTCACTAAGCTTAATCATTTGTAGCTTTTGATTTAACTTGAGATGTGTGACTCTTCCTTTCACTTGAACATTTAGAGGCCATTGTAGGATTATTAATTGACCTCATTTCAATATTAGTGTGTCTCAGGAAGTAGGGAGGCCTGAGGAAAGGGAGAGAGAAGGAAGAATGCCCCATCAGAACACACACTACATTTATTGATTATGTTCACCATCTTATAAGGGCATGGTTCATGGTGCCCCCAATTATAATAGTAATATCAAAGATAACAGATCACCGTAACAGATATAATAGTAAGGAAGAAGTTTGAAATATTTTGATAATTCCCAAAATGTGACATGAAACAGAGACAAGAAGTAAACACGTGAGGTTGGAAAAATGGCACTGATAGACTTGCTCAATGCAGGGTTGCCACAAACCCTGCATTGTAAAAAACCCTGCATTTGTAAAAATGCAGTATCTGTGAAGCGCAGTAAGGCAGAGCACAACAAAATGAGGTGTACCTCTACAGACTTACTGTTTCCTTTTGCTTCATGGTTTTTTGGGGAGAAAATGTTCTCAGGTAGGAAATTCTGTTTTCTGGCCGGGCACAGTGGCTTTTGCCGGTAATCCCAGCACTTTGGGAGGCTGAGGCAGGTGGATCACCTGAGTTCAGGAGTTTGCGACCAGCCTGGCCAACATGGTGAAACCTTATCTCTACTAAAAATACAAAAATTAGTCAGGAATGGTGGCACGTGCCTGTAATCCCAGCTACTTGGGAGGCTGAGGCAGGAGAATCGCTGGAACCCAAGAGGCAGAGGTTGCAGTGAGCTGAGATCGCACCACTGTACTCTAGCCTGGGTCACAGAGCAAGACTCCATCAGAAAGAAAGAGAGAGAGAGAGGAAGGAATTCTGTTTTCCCACTCTTGTCAACACATGGGTGCCATCAGACTTTTAAATTTTTGCAAATCTCATGAGTATGAAATAATATCTCATTATTTTCATGTTATTTCCTGGATTCTTAGTGGTGTGGAGTATCTTTTCATGTGTTTATTGGACATTTGTATTTCCTCTTTGTTGAAAACTGGAAGGATGGAGCTGCCATTTACTGAGATGGGACAGACTGTAAGAGGAGAAAATGTTGGAGGGAGATCAGGAGTTTGCTCAAGGACATGTTTACAGAATCCAGTGGGCTGTTGGATATGCAAGACTGGAGTGCATGGGATGGGTGTGAGCTGGAGATATAAATTTGAGGTTGTTAGTTTATAGAGGGTATTTAAAGGCATGAGACTGAATGAGAGTACAGATACAAGTCCAAAGACCAAAGTCACTATTTAGAGGAAGACTGGGTTCACTCTTAAGGGTCAGGGTGATGATGGGGAAGATGGGGAAAAATTGGCAAAAGAGACAGAAGGAATTGTTATAGAGGTAGGAGGAAAACCAAGAAAGTGTAGTATTCTGGAATCCAAGTGAAGAAAATGTTTCCAGGAGGAAGGTGTGTGAAATGCTCCTGGTAGCCATGTGTGGTGGTTCACACCTGTAATCCAAACGCTTTGAAAGGTCAAGGCGGGAAGATCTCTTGAGCCTAAGAGTTTGAGACCACCCTGGCAACATATTGAGACCCATCTCTACAAAAAATTTTAAAAATTAGCTGGGCATGGGCCGGGCGCGGTGGCTCAGGTCTGTAATCCCAGCACTTTGGGAGTCTGAGGCGGGCAGATCATTTAAGGCCTTCTGTTCAAGACCAGCCTGGCCAACATGGTGAAACCCTGTGTCTACTAAAAGTACAAAGATTAGCCAGGCGTGGTGGCGCACACCTGTAGTCCCATTTACTTGGGAGGCTGAGGCACAAGAATTGCTTGAACCCGGGAGGTGGAGGTTGCAGTGAGCTGAGATCGCAGCACTGCTCTCCAGCCTGGGTGACAGAGTGAGACTCCATCTCAAAAAAAGAAAAGAAAAAAAAAAGAAAAAAGAACCATATTGTAAACATTTTAGACTTTGTGGATCACATACAGTCTCTGTCACATCTTCTTCTTCTTCTTCTTCTTCTTTTTTTTTTACAACCCTTTAAAATGTAAAAAGCATTCTCAGCTCAGGCTGTATGTTTAAACCTCCTCTCTTATCTATCAAGCAGCTGAACTAGTACTTGTCATTACCAGCTGATGCCCACTAAGCAATTGCAAACAAAGTTAACTTTAAAAAATAGCTTTATAATTTACTGGTTTAAAGTGTGCATTTCAGTGGTTTTTAGTATGCTTGCAGAGTTATGCAACCATCTCCATAATATCTGATCTAATTTTAGAATATTTTCCTCACCCCAAAGCTAATGTTTTTACAGCTTTGAGGTATAATTTATATGCAATAAAATTCACCATCTTTGAATGAATAGTTTGAATTTTTTTTTTTTTTTTTTTTTTTTTGAGGCGGAGTCTCGCTCTGTCACTCAGGCTGGAGTCCAGTGGTGTGATCTTAGCTCACTGCAACCTCCGCCCCCCAGGTTCAAGCGGTTCTCCTGCCTCAACCTCCTGAGTAGCTGGGACTACAGGCGCGTGCCACCATACCCAGCTAATTTTTTGTATTTTTAGTAGAGACGGGTTTTCACCATTTTAGCCAGGATGATCTCGATCTCCTGACTTCGTGATCCGCCTGTCTCAGCCTCCCAAAGTGCTGGGATTACAGGCGTGAATGAGCCACTGTGCCTGGCCCATTTGAATTTTAATAAAGCTAATTTTAATATTGGGCAAAGGAAAATGTTCTTAGTAATACTTCTTTTATCACATGCAATAAATCTCACTTGTAAATATTTTCTCCTAAGTGATCTCCACTTTTCCTTTAAAACCAGTGGTTCTGTAGCTCCTGGACCAGCAGCACCCACATCACCTGGGAACCTGCTAGAGTGGGGCCCACCCCAGGGGCAGGGCCCAGCAATCTGTATTTTAACCAGCCTTCCAGGTGATTCTAATGCACACTAAAGTTTGAGAACTACTCCAATGTATATTCCTGCATGGAATTGCTGGGCTGTGGGATATGGGCATGTTCGACTTTATTGGGTATTTCCAAACTACAGGTGACACTTGAACAACACGGGCTTGAACTGTGTGGGTCCACTCATATGTGGAGTTTTTCCCAAAGAAACGTGTATAGAAAATGCGGCATTTGAGATACGCGAAAGCTGCCTGTGCACAGGGACTTGGAGATGCACGGATTTTGGCATATGTGGGGATTCTGGAACCAATCCCCTGAGTATAAGAAGGGGCAACGGTATTTTCAAACTGGTTATACTGTGCCATGTACAGTTCACCTAGCAGTAACTGAGAGTTCCCATTTTCACACATCTTTGCCAACATTTTCGAATATGCAACTTAAAAAACATTTTTGGCCTATCTGATGAGTGATCATAGCCCTTTGGCATATCAAATGGCTGTGATCTTAATTTGTATTTTCCCAGTTGCTAATGAAGTTGAACATCTCATATGTTCATAGGTCATTTGAGTTTTGTGTTCTGTGATAATGGAGTCTTTTGCCTATTGAAATAAATACAATTATGTAAATAAATACAATGTGTGGAAATAATTGCAAAATAAACCCAGAATTCCCAAGGAGAAAGAAGCCCAGAGGGAAAAAAAGAAAGTCCAGGAAAGAGTCCTAGGGGATGTGATAGTTACACAGTCAGGAGAGAATAGGGGTTTGTCAAGCTGACTGAGGGAAGGCCATCCATGTGCTGGACCAGCACGGCCTGATCAGGGAAAGCGAGTAGTGTGGTGTAGGGGACTAGTAGGTGTGTGGAGGAAAAGACATACATAAGGCTGGGAAAAAGGTAGGAAGCAACTAGATGTATTTATCTTACATTCATTTAATCTTTTTTTGTTGAGCATTTGGGTTATTAGTTTTCGTGGGCTTTTTTTCTTTACTATTATAAATAAAACTGATACAAACATCTTAGTATACACAGCTGATTTTTTTCTTTTGAATTATTTTTTAAAACAAGTTTAAACTGAAATTACTAGATTAAAGGAAAGGAGGTATGATTAGTTTCATAGTTTCTTACATGTTTCAAGATTACTCTCCATTAGTCATTAGGGAAATGCAAATCAAAACCACAATGAGTTACCACTTCATACCCACTAGGATGGCTATAGTCAAAAATATAGTAAGTGTTGGTGAGGATGTAGAAAAATTAGAACCCTCATACACTGCTGGTGGGAATGTAAAATGGTGCAGCTACTTTGGAAAAGTTTGGCAGATCCTTAAAAAGTTAAACATAGAGTTACCAAGTGACCCAGTAATTCCACTCCTAGGTATATACCCAAGGAAATGAAAACATATGTCCACACAACAACTTGTACACAAATGTTCGTAAGAGCATTATTTATAATAGCTGAAAGGTAGAAACAACCCAAATATGCATGGAGAGGTGAATGAATGAACAAAATATGATGTACCCATACAGTGAAATGTCTATTATTCTACCATAAAAAGGGATGACGTACTGATACATGCTACAACACAGATGAATCTTGAAAACATGCTAAGTGAAAGAAGCCAGTCACAAAAAAACCACATACTGTTTGATTCCATTTATATGAAATGATTCGAATAAGCAGATCCATAGAAACGGGCTAAGCAGGGGAGGGGAGAAGTGGGGAGTCACAGCTAACAGGGTCTCTTTTGGGAGGGTGAAAATGTTCTACAACTAGACAGTGATAATGGTTGTATATCACTGTGAATATACTAAAAAACATTGAATTGTACACTTTAAATGGGTAAACTGTATGGCATGTGAATTCAACATCAATAAATATGTTTTGTTTTTAAAAATGAAAAAAAGATTATGCTCCAGAAAAATTTTCCTTTCTCATTATCATCAGCAATATTTTTGTTACCCCCCCCCCAAAAAAAATTACCACCTTTGGGTTTATTATTTTCGTTAAATTTAATAGGTATGAACTGATACCCAGAGTTTATTTAAATTATAACTTCCCTATTGAATGTAATCTCTATCAGAGCAGGAAGTTTTGCCTGTTTTTGTTCACTGCTGTAGCCCTAGAACAGTGTCTGGCAAATAATTGGTACACAGCAAAATTTGTTAAATGATTACTTTTTTTTTTTTTTTTTTTTTGAGACAGAGTCTTGCTCTGTCTCCCAGGCTGGAGTGCAGTGGTATGATCTCGGCTCACTGCAAGCACCGCCTCCCAGGTTCACGCCATCCTCCTGCCTCAGCCTCCCGAGTAGCTGGGACTACAGGTGCCCACCACCACGCCCGGCTAATTTTTTGTATTTTTAGTAGAGACGGGGTTTCACTGTGTTAGCCAGGATGGTCTTGATCTCCTGACCTGGTGATCCACCCACATCAGCCTCCCAAAGTGCTGAGATTACAGGCGTGAGCCACCAGGCCAGGCCAAGTGAATACATTTTGATACTTTTAGTTACTAAGTAAACATTTTTTTCCTTTGGTGTTTTAATTTCGTAATACTTTGTGAGCTAATTGTTAGCCTCAAAATTTTTTTAGAAAGAGGCTGTGTATAACTAAATGAATTGAATTGATTGTACTTCCTCTGATGAGTGATCTAGTTCAAGTTCTCTGACTTTATATGCTTTTACTTTCTTCTGTAATTCAGGATAACAGTAGTTTGCAAACGTTTGAGTATGAGGACCGCCTTTTAAACTGATGTCTATGTAATAATTGTACTTTTTGTATCTGTGGGTGGAAAAACTGCATAGTGACAAGAAGTCTTTATATTTTAGTTTCACCATAGTATCTTCAGAAATTTGCAAAATCGAGGTGCATAATACATGAGACATATACTTGTTTATTCGGTAGTCTGTACATGGTAGCTATATGATCATTCATGAGCCCATGGCAGTCGTTTTAGAAGCCACCAGGGGATTGGGACCACTAAGTTAGGAACTCCTTAATATTGGTATCAGAACTGAGGAGGACTACTGAGTTATAAATAATAGCTAGTATAGGAGATTATACCTACTTATGTATTTTTAAAAATCAGTTTCTGAAGCTATCAGTTTCTTTTAAAGACTGGAGAATATTTGAAAAACCAAGTTTAGAAGTGCCTTTTAAAATTTACTTATTTAACATTATTTGTTTTAGCAAAAAACCAGAAGCAAACTAAGTGTCTAATAATGTCCAATTACATTTTGGGTATATTTGTCTGGTGGAAAGTTAGGCAGCAGTTGAATATTCGAAATTGTAATTCTGACCGGCTGTGGTAGCTCACGCCTGTAATCCCAGCACTTTGGGAGGCCAAGGTCGGAGGATTGCTTGAGCTCAGGAGATCCAGACCAAGCTGGGCAACATGGCAAAACCCTGTGTCTACCAAAAATACAAAAATTAGCCAGGTGTGGTTGTGCATACTTGTCGTCCCAGCTACTTGGGAGGTCAAGCATTGCTGGAGCCTGGAAAGTCGAGGCTGCGGTGAACTGTGATTGCACCACTGCACTCTAGCCTGGGTGAAAGAGCAAAACCCTGTCTCAAAAAAATAAAATAAAAATTAAAAAAAGAAATTGTAATTCTTAGAATCCAACAATTTAAAAAGCAGTGTATACCACCATGTATTCCTAAACATTTTAACTGTGATCATATGAAGTGTTTCTGTACATGGTGAAAGACAGGAAAGTAGTAGTGCTTGTATTCAGATAGAGGAATTCTGGGTAATTTTTCCTCTTTTTGGAATACTTATTTAGCAGTTGCTGTGTGCCAGATACCAATAAGCTCTTTTTATGATTTAATTTAGGGGTCATTAAACTACAGTGCATTTGACTTGCCGGGCCTATTTTTGTATGACCCACTTGAGCTAAATAGTTTTTGTACTTTTATTTTTTTAATTAATTTTGACCAATATAGTGCCTTTAACCTAGTATATTTAAAATATTTCAACATGTAGTTAATATTAGAAATACATTAATAAAACATTTTACATTTTTTATATGAACTCTTTGAAATTTGTTGTGGATTTTATACTTACGGCACATCTCAATGTTGTCTAGTCACATTTTTACATTTTTAAAGAGTTGCTTTAAAAAAAAGAAGAAACAGATGTGACAGAGACCTTATATGGCCTGCAAAGCCTGAAATAGTTACTATTCAGCACTTTGCAGACAAGGTTTACTGATCCCTGATTTAATTCATTTTATCCTGACAATATTCCAATAAGAAGGGGTGCTATTATTATTTCCATGTTATAGATGAGGAAACTGAGGCACAAAGGGTTTAAGTAAATTGGCAGCATTCGCTGTGTTTTAGATCAAATTGTAGGCTCTTTCTACAAACTTGCTAATCCTGTGTTTCTTTGCAGTGTAAAAAGTGGATAGTGGCTCACGTGTCAAAGGATGGCACGGTCACGATCTAGATCCCCCAGGTGGAAACACAGGTGAGCAGTTCTTAGCAGAGTAAGCTTGGATTTGGGATGTGCTGTGACTTTCAATTTCACCAGTACTAGTAAACACTTAATAAGCTCATGAGACCTGGTTATTCACAGTAGGTACTTTATCATAGTAGAGGTTGTATTTCTACATTCTAGTAGCTGACAGTTTTGTTTAATCATAGAAGGTAGCTAGAGTTAATCCATAATGAAAAGCAAAGCAGTGGCCACAGCAGGAGAGAGTGAGAAACATCTTTGAGAGTATTACATTTTTTGAATTAGTGAGTAGTTTAGAACTCCTCAATATGGATTTCATTTTATTTTTTCATAATTAATATGTTTAAAGAAATTTCGAGGTAGAAAATGGGGAGTTTCCTTTTGAATAGTTTGATTATAGTCCATTTTTCCTCTTTCCAGCTTGGTAGTATCAAAAGTATGTATCATTAGATTGGAGCAATTTAACCAGTCTTTATTGTACACCTGCTACAGGCAGGTTCTTGGTCTACAAAAGCAAATATGCCATCTTCTGTGGCTTCAGCAAGCACGTGGTTGGGCTTTGAGATTGACACCATGGCCAACTATGATACAGTGGGGAAAGTGCTGTGCTACTTATTGGGACAAAGGATTCTGGATTTTCAGGGAGGAAATAATTGTGTTTTTGTGGAGGGAAATGGGGGTACTAAGAAAGTCTTCAAAGAAGAGATGAAAACAATTTTATCTGGGCATTTCAGGATGTGTAGAACTTCTAAAGGCAGAAAGAGTGAAGAGAAGTATTCTAGTTAAGGGGGAGAGCAGGAGCAAAGGCACCGAGCTGTAAATGTGACTAGTATTTTCTGAGACTTAAAAAGGACCATTTGGCCGGGCGCGGTGGCTCAAGCCTGTAATCCCAGCACTTTGGGAGGCCGAGACGGGCGGATCACGAGGTCAGGAGATCGAGACCATCCTGGCTAACCCGGTGAAACCCCGTCTCTACTAAAAAATACAAAAATCTAGCTGGGCGAGGTGGCGGGCGCCTGTAGTCCCAGCTACTCGGGAGGCTGAGGCAGGAGAATGGCGTGAACCCGGGAGGCGGAGCTTGCAGTGAGCTGAGATCCGGCCACTGCACTCCAGCCTGGGCGACAGAGCGAAACTCCGCCTAAAAAAAAAAAAAAAAAAAAAAAGGACCATCATCTCACACACAAAAGACAGACCAAGATTTTTCATGTTATGATAACTTGCCCATTTTGCTTATGCGTTTCGGTTATGCAGTAACTAATCAATCATTTTGTCAACAGTTTTCATTTTGTAATTCACAGGAGCAACTTGTAATGGCAAGGAATTTGAGAAAGAAAAGGGAATGTAAAGAAGTGAATGATTTTAAAAGGGTATCACAGAGGTCTTTTGTTTTTTGTTTTTTGTTTTTGAGATGGAGTCTCGCTCAGTCACCCAGGCTGGAGTGCAGTGGCGCGATCTCGGCTCACTGCAAGCTCCGCCTCCGAGGTTCACACCATTCTCCTGCCTCAGCCTCCTGAGTAGCTGGGACTACAGGCAGCCGCCACTGCACCCAGCTAATTTTTTGTATTTTTAGTAGAGACGGGGTTTCACTGTGTTAGCCAGGATGGTCTCGATCTCCTGTCCTAGTGATCCACCTGCTTCGGCCTCCCAAAGTGCTGGGATTACAGGTGTGAGCCACCGCTTCTGGCCCACAGAGGTCTTTTCTTGATAAGACAAAAGCTGCTGGTGAGGGGCACAAGAGACCCTGCCAAGCTCAGTGCCTGATTTCCAGGTTCCATCTCGGGTTTCTTTGACAAGTATACATATGTAACAAACCTGCACGTTATGCACATGTACCCTAGAACTTAAAGTATAATAATAATAATAAATAAATTTTTTTAAAAAACTATAAAGGATCTGATATTTTACCCTACTTGCGAACTAACACATTATTAGCCTGCCACAGGGCACTCTTGGGTCAGAGATAAAGGCCTTTGTTACTCAGAGTACAGCAAGTAGCTTGAGCTTCATGTTCCTGTCATTCCCCTCACCCTCTGGGTCCCATGAGGGCTGGCACCGCAGAGCCACTGACTGGGTGCATGCTATGAGGCAGCGAGCTTTCCATACAGGCGGTGCGGTTACAGTACAACTGAGGAACATGAGTCCCTTATCAGGGGCTGCAAATAATGGACAGCAAACACATCAACCCTTTTCCCTGAGGGAGACCCTATCTCTATCTTGCAATACTGCCTTAGAACAAAGGCTGCCAGTGCCTCTGCTCAAAAGGCGCTCACAAGGTGTGCAGAACTCAAGAGACTGTGGAGAATTGTCTCCCAATAGACTCCTTGAGTCTTTTTTGTTCCTTTAGGAAAACCAAAAGCAATAGCAACTATTCCAGCAACCTTCTTCAGAAGAAAGGGACACTGTGCAATAAAACATATAAAATATCATATCAAACCAATATTGAATGTGAAGTAAGGATTAAAAGTAAGTTATTGGGAATTCCATCCAGACTGGAAGACCTTTGACTCTGGCTGCCATCTTTTCTCCTTGGCTATGAAAGAGATGAAATCTTCCAGGAAGTCCTGAGAGGCTCCAGTTGCTTCCTCCTGTGATGAGGTATAGCCAGCTGGATGGCAGAGTTTCTGCTTTAGCTAAATAACACTTGCCGGTATGTCTAGCTTGGTGACTCCAGAGGGCAATATTGCCAAGTTCAGTATATACATGAGGAAGGTAGATCTACCTCCTTTATTGTAGGGAGGGCACAGACTTATCATCGAAAGGAAAGGGCATGGTTGCACCAACTCCATGGCCGCTTCTAAGAGAGAGCCATAACAGAAGCTGCAAGGATCACTTCCTCATTGATTAGAAGACATTAAACCCTCAGGGAGGAGATGGAGAAATTGGGCAGGTCAGATGGGGGGAAAGGTCCCCAGCTACAAAATGGAACTGTATTGTGTCCCAGATAGTGGCACACCTCTCTTTACATCTAGGCAACCCAAATTGGTTTCCCTGAATACAGAAGCCTCAATGTTGGCAATGCTGAGGTATGGAGAAGGTAGTTCCAGAAAGGATGTGCTGTCCCTGGAGAGCATTATAGCTACTTTAAAGTATAACTTCACCAAAGTTACAAGCTCTGTTCGAACAGCACATCTTTCCGTCGATATGCAAAGGAACAGATCTGGGAACAAAAACCAACTTACCTATGTTAGAGGTATTTCTGGAGGAATTAAGCATGAGATTCAAGTCTTAAGAGCCTCTTGTTCCCCCTTCTCCCCCGGTTGAGTACATATGTTTTGCTCCTTGATACAGCCTTAGTGGAGAAAGTAGACAGTCAACTGGAGAAGCTCTGGGCCTGGCTTGGTTCTGAGTTTGAATTGTAGCATCATTAAATCTTAGACTCTAATTTATTGTCAGAGGTGATGTTCAGTTTGCTGGAGGCCCTCCTACACATTGATTTGTGTGAGTCTTGCCTTCCTGCTTGTTTCTTACCTGGCCTTTGAGCAGGATATAAGCTTTTGCTGACTGGCCCTTTGAAGTCACTGCATCTTCTTTTGCCAGAACTTTGCTGTCAGCAGTCTTCTAAAATGGATCCTGCTGTGTACCTAAGCTGGCCCTCCTCCAATGGGAAAGGTGTGCTCAGCTCATTTGGATAAGCACATGGAATACCTTAGTTCAGATGGAAAGAGTATGCTTGTTGATTGGGCAGTACTATAGTCAGACCCCCAAATGTACAATTTAGAATGCAGATGTAGCAAATTGATGAATTTAGTTTGAGTGGAAGAAGCTGAAGGATCCTAGGAAAAGCAACTGTTTTCGGTAGGTCATATTAAGACACACTTAGTTGATTATCTTTAAATGGATTACACTTTTCTGTGTTTGTTTACATAGGTCTTTATCGCCAGTACCTAGAAATGCTGAACACTACAAGCAAAGACATTCTCACGGGCATTATGGCTGTGAATATAGGAAGGATCCAAAAAGACCCGTCGCTTGGAGAATGGACAGTGAGAAACATGGACAGAGTAAACCAAGGATTCCCTCTCGTGGAAATATATATTACCAGTCTTATGAACATAGATCACCTTCCCCTAACATAAGAAACTCTTTAGAAAATGTTTATATGTATAAGCCTCACCGAGGATATTCGCCTGGAAGAGGGGACAGTAACAGGAGAGCTCAGTATATGCCCAAATACTCAGAGGGTATACCCTACAAAGAGCATGAGAGGAATTCTTATCCCCAGAAAGTGCAAGGAGGGTATAGTCCTGATGACCACAGAGTTAGAGGAAGTGGAAAAGGAGGGAAGCCACCTCAGAGGTCAATAGCAGATTCTTTTAGATTTGAAGGAAAGTGGCATGAAGATGAGTTGAGGCACCAGAGGATACAAGAAGAAAAATACTCCCAGTCAACTAGAAGAGGCTCTGAAGACTTTGAGACAAGGAGCTCATTTCAGAAGAGGTATAGGAAAACATTAAACCTGGGTAATTTGGTATAATGCCTCAAGTGAAAAGGTCTGTTTACTTTACGGTTGAAGATAACCACCTTGAAAAGCTTTTGTCTAAAAAGACAAAAAGCATTGTAATTTAGTTATGGTGCACTGGTAGTAGTGAAGTATTTCTTTTTACAGTAAATCATGTTGATGGCTAGAATACTTTTAAAAGATGGTATTTTCCTCTTTAACTGCCTTATGCCTCTAGAATTGGCTTAAGGGATTATAGATTAGTTTGCCACTGCATTCTGCATTTAAAGCCATGCTGCCCAACATTCTACACATATAAATTCTCCCTTTCTTCTCTCTATTGCAAGTGTAAACTGCTTTATGTCAACACAGGTATCCTGAGGATCGTGATTTCAGAAAATATGGACACACATCAAAAAGACCTAAAGACGTGGAGAGGTATGAAAGCAGAGAGCCTGCCAGGAATCCAAAGTGGAAGCCCGAGCATTCCCTCCCACCTTACCAAGAGGACACAGACCAGTGGAACCTTGGGCCCCAGACTTATCGACATGCTGAGAGGGAACACCCAGAGACCAGTTCAGCAACCAAAGTATCCTATGACTATCGTCACAAACGTCCTAAGCTCTCGGATGGGGACCAGGACTTTTCTGATGGGAGAACTCAGAAGTACTGTAAGGAAGAAGATAGAAAATACAGTTTTCAAAAAGGCCCTGTAAATAGAGAGTTAGATTGTTTTAATACTGGAAGAGGGAGAGAGACTCAAGATGGACAAGTCAAAGAACCTTTTAAACCGTCTAAGAAAGACAGCATTGCCTGTACTTATCCAAATAAAAATGATGTTGATTTGAGGTCTAGTAATGACAAACGGAAGGAAAAAATAAAGAAAGAAGGGGATTGCAGAAAAGAGAACAATTCTTCCAGTAACCAACTTGATAAAAGTCAAAAACTTTCTGATGTGAAACCCTCGCCTATCAATCTTAGGAAGAAATCACTTACAGTTAAAGTAGATGTGAAGAAAACAGTAAATACATTCAGGTATTATCTTTGTTTTTTCTTTATGATATTTGATAATGTTTCTACAATCTTTATTTGCAGCTTCCAAAATAGAATTAATAGTTTGTTTAGAGTCCGTCGAGTGGGAGGGATTGCCAAGAATTTTCCCCAAAAAAAGCCCTGTAGTGAGGCTGTTTCCTGTGATTAGTTACATGGGAGCAATTTCGTGTCTCCTTGTTTCCGCGTCCTATCTCCAGATGCTTCTTGGATGTGGGGCATTCTGTGGAGTTGTTCCTCTTTACAAATTCACTTGTTTTTATGCTGCCAGGTTTTCCTTATCCAAGGATTAGCTGGGTAGAGTTCAAGAAAATCTAGTCCTTGCTCAGTTTCTCAGAGCCTGTGCTTTCTGTGGCCTGAGATTCAGAGAATTTTTTGAGCTGAAAGGGACCTTAGCAGGACCTAGATTTATACAGGAGGAAAGCGCGGCCCTGAGAGATGAAGTGACTTGTCTAAGTCAGAGTGGCTTGGGCTCAAATCCACGTGTTCCCTTATGACTCAATGAGGCAGGTGACTTAATGTGGTTTTTGCTGCCATCTCAAAATGACTGGGGCTCAACCAACTAGATTCTCCCAGGTAGAGGAAATTACACCATAATCTGAGAAGATGCCTATTTTTAAGACATTTACTTTAGCCCTTAATGATTCTTTAAAAAAATAGACTATTGTTGTTATAGGTTACATTCTCTTAAAGCAGACTCACGTGCTTTGTTCCTCGACAAATATTACTTCCATTTAATGTATATAATAAGGCACTGCAGTTGGCCTAAAACTAAACGGCTAAAACTGTTCATGACCTTAATACGCTACGAGTATGTGAATGAAAAGGGGTGGGCCATGTTGATTTGGTATGTTTATATTCATGCTTGACTCATTTGTTTTTGAACCAAAAATGAGAGAAAACAAAATCCAAAGGGTTTTGGGGAGATAAACCCACAAGTCCTTTTTTGTAAAACAAAATATTTTTTGTTCCTTTTTCTTTTCTCTCCTTTTCTTTTGAGACAGGGTCTTGCTGTGTTGCCCAGGCTGGAGTGCAGTGGCACGATCACAGCTCACTGCAACCTCGAACTCCTGGGCTCAGATGATCCTCCTGCCTCTCCTGTGTTGGCCTCCTGAGTATCTAGGACTATAGGTGCATGCCACCATGCCCAGCTAATTTTTTTCTTTTTTTATAGAGACGGAATCTTGCTATGTTGCCCAGGCTGGTCTCAAACTCCTGGCCTCAAACGATCCTCTCACCTCGGCCTCCCAGAGCACTGGCATTACCAGCCTGAGCCACTGTACCTGGCCTCTGTTCCTTTTCTTAAATTTAGACATGGCAACACCCCACCTCATAGTTCTTTTGCATTCATTGCACTTGTACAAAATATTTTTAAATATACGTATGTGTATTTATATATGTGCTCAGAAAGCATTTATAAGTATGATTATATTACAGAAAGTTCAAGAAATAAAGGGGAGAATCATCCATAATTCTACTACTCTACAACAATTTTATTTGCATTTTAGTCTAGTTATTTTTCTATGTATATTTATACATGACTGCTGTGGTATATTAATAATTTTGTATCTTTTTACATATGTCTTGAATAATTTTGTGCTATTATATCTCCTACTAGTTCTTCATCTTAAAAGCACAAAAGCTTCTGTAAGTACCAAGTTTAAGAATGTTACCTTAACGGCCAGGCACAGTAGCTCATGCCTGTAATCGGAGCACTTTGGGAAGCTGAGGTCGGAGGATCGCTTGAGCTCAGGAGTTTGAGGCTGCAGTAAGCCATCATCGTGCCATTGCACCCCAGCCTGGGCAGTAGAGTGAGACTCTGTCTCAAAAAAAAAAAAAAAAAAAGGGAGGGGAGCTTGGATTATTGGATTACATTCTGATGGCTATGAGATATACATATATAACATATAGCATACACACTTTTCTTTCTTTTTTTCTTTTCAAGACAGGGTCATGCTCTGTCACCCAGGCTGGAGTGCAGTGGTGTGATCATGGCTCACTGCAGCCTTGAACTCCTGGGCTCAAGTGATTCTCCTGCATCAGCCTCCTGAGTAGCTGGGACTACAGGCGTGCACCACCACACCCAGCTAATAAAAAATATTTTGTAGAGATAGAAATCTTGCTATGTTGCCCAGGCTGGTCTCAATCTCATGGCCTCATGCAATCCTCCCTCCTTGGCCTCCCAAAACACTGGGATTACAGGCATGAGCCACCGTACCCAGCCTTAAGCTTTTTTTCTATCCAACGTTCTATTTTGAAAATGTTCAAACATACAGAAAAGCTGAAAGAATTCTACAGTGAACGCCCATATACTCACCACCTAAAGTCTACAATTAACAGTTTACTTTCATAATTACAAATGTATCTATTCATCTATTGTTCCACCTTATTTTTTGGATATTTTTCAAAGTAAGTTGCAAATGTCAGGACACTCCCATTTAGATACCTTATAAATTTTTGTTTACAGTTCCTCTTTTTTCTTTTGAGGTATAATTATATACAATGAAATGCATAAAAATTTTTAACTTTTTAATAAAAGTAATGATGTGGCCAGGTGCAGTGGCTCACACCTGTAATCCCAGCATTTGTGGGAGGCTGGGGCAGGCTGATTGCTTGAGCTCAGCAGTTCGAGACCAGCCTAGGCAACATGATGAAACCCCACCTCTACAAAAAAATACAAAAATTAGCTGGGTGTGGTGACATGTGCCTGTAGTCCCAGCTTCTTGGGAGGCTGGGATGGGAGGATTGGCTTGAGCCCGGGAGATGGAGACTGCAGTGAGCCATGTTTGTGCCACTGCACTCCAGCCTGGGTGACAAAGCGAGACCCGTCTCAAAAATTAAAACTAAAAAAATAAAAGTAATGATACCCCCATGTTTAATAATGAAGTGTGTTATAGTGAAAAGAGAATTTAAAAATTGTAACACTTTTAAAGAATGCTAGAAATACCAGTTTTGAAGAGTTTTATTTTAATAGACCTCATTAGAGATACTGAACAGTTAATTTTATAATTTGATATGAGAAATGGAAGCTTGATCTTTATCATGTGTCACAAAAATGAGCTGAAAATGGAGGCTGCTGCATCTTTTAGTTTGAATTTATAAACTATGATTTTGTGAAATCTCATCATCTGTCACTGGGGTCTGGCAGCATACCAGGGCCATCTGAATACCTGCCCAGGGCCTGCAGCATGGCTTGTGTAATGACCTCCACTGCAAATCCTCTCTGTTCAAAGACCTGAAAAATAAATAACTGAGCAAATACATGCATCTTTTCAGTATGATAAAGCGTCGTAGTCAACAAAATCTTTATTTCCTGGTGAATGGGTTATGGATGAATTTTGTGGTTTGGATTTAATTGTATGTGGACTGATCCATAAAACAAAGATAATGCCCTCAGTAGAATTATGTTTTCATCTATTAATATAAATTAGATTTTTCTTTTCTAGAAAAGAGTAAAATAATCAGAGTGCAGAGAGAACTTTATTTATTGGTTAACATCTAGAGAGTTCATCTGCTTTTTTTGGGAAATGCTAAAATGGCTAGTTTTGTGCATTTGTTTACTTAGCTTTGGTTGAGAATTGATATTTGTTATTCCAGTTATCAGTATGGTTGAAAACAAAAGGTTATCACTCTGTGAGTTTTTTAGATTCTAGTTTGTATCTAGAACAGCAGTAGGTAAACACTTGCTTGAATGTTCACCACATAGTTAATACTTCCGTTAAGAAAGACTGTATTCTAATTATCCACTCTGTCAGAAACTTCATTATCAGAAATTACATCTGAGTCATAATTATATGTTTCAGAATGTAAGTTAGGGAATCACAGTATGAAAATTTCTACTAAGGTTGTTACATATGCAAAACATTAACTGTTGTATATATGCATCGGAAGTTTTGAGGCAGACAAATGCAGGTGTTAGTTTAATGTTGGGCTGAGTGGGTGAGGGATTGACCCTTGGCTAGGCCAGGAAGGAAGAGGAGGAGGGAGAGGGAGGAGGGAGGAGGTGGTACTAATATCTGGAGCAGAATAAACTGCTGCTGATGGATCAGAGGCTTCTTTGATCTCCTGGGAAGCTGATACGAGACACCTGGGACATGGGGAAGGTTGTCCATCAGCATTTATGGCTATCAGAGTTGATGGTGGACTAAGTACATTGGCCACATTTGCGTCTAATCCTTTATTTCCCACTGAAGAGACACAGAGCCTCTCTATCCCTATCCGCTCTTTTCCCGCTTTGAAAGGGGAGGAGGTGGGTGATGGGCCCCAGAGGACATTGGAACCCTGACACTGAGGAAACAGGTGTCATGCAGGCAGGGAACAATGTGAAAAGCCATAACTGAGATTGAAGGAAGGGAACCTACTCACATAAGTTTACCTGTGATGGATACTGTTCCGCTGGAGGTAAAATAAGCTGCAGGTGGGGATATATTTTATACCCAGACCTGCCACCTTGCTGTTATGTAGCATAAAAAACTAAAGTTCTCCCCTACTTTAATTTCTCATGCGCATTTTAAAATCAAAAATTAATTGAGAGAACGTTCCCTTTCGTTCCTATTTTTGACCCTAGCTTCTCTTAGTGTCTCTTAGGAGGCCTTGTATAGGGATTCTGTTGGCAGTTAGAGTGCATAGGTTTTTGTCTTCCTGTGGACCACTGATCAGCTTTGTGACATTGGGCAGGTCACTTGGCTATAACCTTTTGGGCCCAAATTAGCCTGCAGTTCCTCCTGGCTCTGAGTCTGCTTGGATTGGCCATGTGTTGGTGACCATTGAAGCTGAGTCGACAGACACATGGAGGATCATCATGTTCATCTCTGAACTTTATATTTGAGATTTTATATTAAAAATATTAAATTTAAATTGGTCTAAGTTAAGCAAAAAATAAAAATAAAAAAAGCCAAGAAAGTTAAAAAAACAAAATTAAATTGGCCTCGATTAAAATGTTGAAGTCTGGCTGGGCATGGTGGCCCATGCCTGTAATCCCAGCACTTTGGGAGGCCGAGGCAGGCAGATCCCTTGAGCTCAGGAGTTTGAGACTAGCCTGGGCAGCATAGTAAAACTCTGTCTCTACAAAAAATACAAAAATTAGCCAGGTGTAGTGGTGCACACTTATAGTCCCAACTAATCAGGAGGCTCAAGTGGGAGGTTGGCTTGAGGAGGCAGAGGTTGTAGTGAGCTGAGATTGTGCCACTGCCCTCCAGCCTGGGCGACAGAGCCAGACCCTGTCTCAAAAATAAAATAAAATGTTGAAGTCCTCTCTCTCTCTCTCTCTCTCTCTCTCTCACTCAGTCTTGCTTTGTCACCCAAGCTGGAGTGCAGTGCTGTGATCACGGCTCACTACAGCCTTGATGTCCTAGGCTCTAGCAATCCTCCCACCTCAGCCTCTCGAGTAGCTGGGACTATAGGCACACACCAACATGCCTGGCTAATTTTTTTTTTTTAATTTTTAGTCGAGATGAGGTCTTGCTATGTTACCCAGGCTGGTCTTGAACTCCTGAGCTCAAGCAATCCTCCTGCCTTGGCCTCCGAAACTGTAGCCTCTCGAGTAGCTGGGATTACAGGCGTGAGCCACTGCACTTGACCTTATCATCTCTTTAGCTGAAACACTCATTTCAAATTGACCAAGTCATTTTTGATTCATTATTTGTTCATTCAGTGGGTATTTTTTGAGGACCTACCCTGTGTGAGACAGTCTGTCAGGGTGCCCTGGGACTAGAGAGCTGCATACGATTAGGTTTCTCCTTTGGTTTATTGGAGTGCATGTGTGACTCAGCAGAAGATGGGTGGTACCAAGCTGGGAAATTGAAGAGAGGCATCATGTAGTTGACATGTGAGCTAGGCTTCAAAGGCTGGTGTATTTCAGACACATGGAGATGAGGCAAAAGGAATTTTATATTTACAGGTTAACAATGGCAGTAAAACATACACAGGAACTTTGACCTGTGTGGTTTTGAGCAGTGAAAAGGAATAGAGGGAAAGGAGACTGAAAGGTAAGAATGCTGCAACTGCCAGCTGGATTTGACATTATCAGCTGATAGGAGAGGGCCGGCAGCCCAGTTCTGGCTGCCAGAAGGTTGTCGTCTATGAGGTAGACTGAATGCATGTTGGGGCTGGGGAGGCCCACTAGAGGACTTTTGTGCAAAAAGTATTGAGATGCGGAATGAGGGGAGGAGTAATCTCCCTGAACCTTTTCCCTCAACTCCACAATTTCTAAATTTGTTCTTAGGAAGACAGGAGCAAATTATATACAGTCATGCATTGCTCAACGATGGGGATACGTTCTGAGAAATGTCTTGTTAGGCGGTTTTGCCACTTTCTGAAGATCATAGAGTGTATTTACACAAACCTAGATGATGTAACCTACTACACACCTAGGCTATATGGTAGAGCCTATTGCTTCTAGGCTACAAACCTGCACAGCATGTTACTGTACTGAATACTGTAGGCAACTGTAACACATCAGTAACTATTCGTGTATCTAAACATATCTAAACCTAGAAAAGCTGCACTAGAAATACAGTACCACCATCATTTAAGTGGTCATTAATGGAAACGTCGTTATGCTGCATGTGACTGTAATTGGGAAAGTGCTTTATATGAACTATAGGATGCTGTATGAAGTGTTAGTTATTAGTTGGAAGAAGACAGAAAGGAAAACTTTATATGTGTCATATGGATTTTGGTATATATGAGAAGCTTCCAGAGGGCAGGGGAATCTGTTGGTTTTGGCTGCTGTTGGGTTTTTTGTTGCCGTTTTGCCATGCAGTTCGTTTCTTTGATGAGTCCTAAGTGTGTACAACAGGAAATTAAGGTTTAATGTAGCTTTTTATGTTTTCTTGGTTATTACCCACAACGCTCAGAGAACATCAGTGGAAATATCCTTAAACAGAAAAATAAACAGGGAAAGTGCAGTCGAGGGAACAAAGGATCTTGGAAGGTTTAATGAAACTAGTACCAGAAATAGTATTAGAATAGAGATTTTTGGCTGTATTTTAATTTTTTAAATTGTCTAAAATGCATCTCAAATGAGAACATTTGATCTTTTTAGCTTAACTACTTGCTTTGCGGGTATTTCCTGAAATTATTAACTTGTTAATCAATCCATACCATAGGAAATAGTAAAAAGTAAAATGTGAACCAAAAGATGATTACATTTACAAATATAAATATTTAGAACATTTTGCATTCTCATACCTAAAGAGGGTTTTTCTTGTACCAAAAGTATCATAATTATTTTTAAAAGACTAAAATTTGGAGGTTTTACTATGTTAATGTATATTTTCTAGAAAATGATAATTTTAATTTTTTCTTAAATATCTTGTAGTAGAGGAACTCTAGGATAAATTTTAATGGATAACAAGTTTAAACACTAAGATTTCAGGAATTAAATATATAATAGCTTCATAGTTAAAAGTATATAACTCCTGCGGATTGAGGATTGAGCATGGAGTGGGGACAAGAGTTTCAGCAGTAATTTGTAAGAAATTTTAAGTAAATGTTAATAATTACCCATTGGAAAACCGAACATCTTTATCAGCTTATTTCCTTTTGGGATAAACTGAGGCTTCCAGAAAAAACCTTATCAACTGATTTCCTCTGGTGTATGGACCATTTGTATAGTTCTATTTAAATATACTAGTTTCGTTCTGTAAAATGTTTTTAAAGGCTATTTTTTTTTTTGGTATGGCACAGGAATTTTGTAACTTTAAACCCCCTTAAACAGAGAGCATTTGTAATTCTTTGTTAGTGGAGGTCGTTACGGGGTGTTCTAACATTTGCCAGCAAATGTCTCTTAGCTAGTTATCATATACACAGTGGGAAGCTTGGAGCAAATTAGGAGGAAATAAGGGAAATGCGCCTTCTTTCTAATGAAAGTCCTTCTAATGAATCAACGAAACCACAGCAGTGCGGTCAACCTGCTACATGGTTACATTTCTGTGTTTCTGCCTTGGCACGGAGTTGTCCCTGGCAATGCTGGTCTGAGAGCAGGGAGCACGGAAAGTCAGATGGAAGCATTTCCTCTGATAAGTTATAAATAGACACTCAAAGCCATTTTTATTAGAGGAGCTAAAATTTTTGGTTAAAGAATATCTGTAAGCCCCTTATAACCCTGCAGCAGTTTAGATATGTGGCTGTTACATGACTTAAATAAATAAATACATATGTGCATGCATGCACTTGTACCCCCAGACACATCTGTCTGTCTGCTTTCTGCTATATGATGAGCTATTCCAGTGGTGCTCTGTTATTTAAAACATACTTCAGGGCTCTCTTTTGGATTTATCTTCTGAGCCTGTAATATAGCCATTAAGAACCCCAGCAGTTGCAAATGTCAGTTCTTTGGACAATGAGCTTGATTTTTGAGAAGAGTCAAAAGCAATTTAGAGTTAACTACAGGGAAATAAGATAGGTACAAGCTGATTAGTGCCATTTTGGGTCCAAAATGAGATATAATTATAAAATAATGAGAAAATTTCTTCATTGATGCATAAAGTACCTCCAGACAAAGAATTTCTGAGTAGTTTTAAGCAAGCACAGCATTCTTGGAATAAGGTATAGTTTTTCATTACAACAGTTGGAAGACGTGTTCATTTGAATGCTCAATCTCTAGGATGTGAGACAAAGCAACCAAGACGTCCATTGTCTCAGGGTCGTGGCACCTTCCCCATAGGGCTATTGTAAAGATGAAATGAGATAATGTTGGTAAGCTCTAAGCCCCCATGTTTGGCACGTGATAAGCCCTCAATAATAGTTAGCTCTGTATCATAACCATTAGTTTGTAAAAGTACTTAGAGGTCAGGAGAGCTCTTAACAAAAGTTATAAGATTCAGAAGGCATTAAAGTGGTAAGATAGCTGGGGTTATATAATAAATGGTAGTATTTCTTTATGGGTACATTGAGGGTGAACACTGTAACTGGTGTTAATGACCATAACTTTGCCTAACAGCTAAGACTGTTTTCTGAGAATTTAGTGAGACTTTGTAATTAAGTTAATCTCTTAACAGAATTTTATTTCAAAATACAATTCTAAGCTTCTTATTACTGATATAAAGATATAAGGATTTTTATTAAGTTAGAGAGGTTCTTATGTTTGATATCGGCTTTTTAAAGTGTGGTAGTATTTCAAGATAAAATAATTTTGCTGGACTAACAATATTTTGGCCATTTGGAAGTAGAAAATAATCTAATCAATTACATTTTGCATAGTAAGTGTCTTTAATACCTTGTGTTTTTGAAGTAAAAATTGTTTCACTTAGAATTTGAAGGATTTTATTATTAAATTGGCAAATATTTAATGACCTCTGATTTGAAAGAACTCAGAGCCATGTATCTGTAGTTAATTTCTCCTACTTGTTATTGTACATGTTTTATGGCATGGAATTTAGTGCCTTAATTATAAGAAAAGATATACATCTTTTTAGTTTTGTAGCTATCTTAATTTTTGATAAATTCTTTTCTCCACAAAATAGTTTCAAATTGAGTTAAACATTTGCGAATTATTCTAGGGTTGCTTCTAGCTATTCCACAGAGAGACAGATGTCACATGATTTGGTTGCTGTTGGCAGGAAAAGTGAGAACTTTCATCCAGTGTTTGAACATCTTGACTCAACTCAGAATACTGAAAACAAACCTACAGGAGAATTTGCTCAGGAAATCATAACAATAATCCATCAAGTTAAAGGTTGGTATATTTTGCACATACATTAGGGATAACACAAAAGTAATGTAGTAACTTTTCACGAGATACAGGTAAACACCTGCAGTATAGTTTAATAGTAATTAATACTTCATTGTAAGCTAGACTGTGAATTAGTAAATCTTTTGAAGAGAGTATCAGGCATTCATTTGAGCCTAGTTCTTAGTTCCGATAACCTTGTGCTTCAAGTGTTAGTAGATTGGAAATTGCAAGTTAGAAAGGGAGAGGCTGGCTGCTGCAAAAGACAAGGCATACTGAGAGCAGTAAGAAACAATAACTGGGAACCTAACAGGGAGGAAAAAGCAACAAAAACAGATAGGAAACTCAAGAAATCAGGAAGCCTAGGTCATTTTATGATTCTTAAAGCCCCCTGAGGGCATTACTAGGACTTTGTATCTTAAGGATGATGCTGAGTGATCAATGAAACTTCTAGTTTGCTTTGGCATTCTTTATGTCTGGGAGTTACGTAATAAATAAATACTTTTAATGGTTTGCATTAAATTGTTTTGTTTTTGCTCCTGGCGAGTTTCCATTAATTGGAAAATTCAGTGATATAGAACAACTTTCCCCAGTGATGCTACACAAATAAGGCAATTTTAGGTGTTACAAGCTGGAGGCCTTCAAGAATTTAAAATTTTTTATTTTGTACTTCCTACTAGACGATTGCATTAATCTTTCTTACCTTCATAAAATATATTTTGAAAATGAGGTTTTTTTTTCTCTGCGTCCCTCAAACTGAGGCATGTATTTACTTTAAAGCACATAGTTTGTCTGAAACAGCTCATCCTCTCAGCTCCAGTCCCTCTCACCCAAAGGAAATGTGATTCTTGGCAGAAATGGAGCTGATTTGCAGAAAAATCCAGGAGATTGTCCCAGAACAGGAACAGTAAATTAGGGAGGAGGATTGCTTAAGTAGCATTCTGATGGGCCAAGTGTATTCTCTTCCTCTGTATCCTATTAAAAGTGTGTAGCGTAGCTGATTTCTAAATGTTTTCATGCACTTTAATGTGAATTAAAGTGGCATTAGAAGGCCTTCTGTGATATGCAGACATAACAGTTAGTATTTGTTTGAAATTGTTTTGATGTTTCAGGCTTGTTTTTGAAGTTACTTTTTATTTTCATTCAACTGTGAAGCTCTGTGCCATCTTTACTTTCCAGATATAGTAAGTCTTGCCTTGGAGAAGAAAGGTTCTTGCTTTGAAAGAGCCATTGTCTTTTCCCCTGGACAAGTAAGCAGGCATGTCAGATAGAAAGAAAATTCTTTGATTAATAAATCAGGCATTTTTACTCTTGTTTGGGCTTGGGAAGGCACGTGAGAGCTACAAATTAGTCTGCGAAATAAATTTGGGTCGCACATATTTTTAAGAGAAAACAGGTTGAATTTAAAAAAATAATCCCTTCTTTCTGTGCTTTTATGTAATCTTTTAAGTGAAATCAGCTTAACATTGAGATAAAACTGTTTGTTTCCCTTTTCAGCAAATTATTTTCCATCACCTGGTATTACTTTACATGAGCGTTTCTCAACAATGCAGGATACACACAAGGCAGATGTAAATGAAATTACATTGAATTCAGATCCAGAAATACACAGGTAATGATTGATTACCATATTATACCCATTTAACTAATGGGGATAAACCTCAGAAAAGATTTGGGAAGGTGCTGCTTTCTGAACCTGCTCACCTGGGCTTGCTGTAGACTCTAGGATTCCATTTCCTTCACAAAAATAATAGGATAATCCAAGCATTATCTGGCCACTGCACTTTGATGGAATGAATAGGATGCACTGAAAACATTGACTAGCATTGTTTAAATGTGTAGGACTTTGAAAATACTTACATACCTAACTTCACTTCTGCTGTCAATAGTAATTGCTGCCTGAGGTCCTCAGTAGAAGAATGAAAGACAGTTGTTAAGCCATTGAAATCATAGGTTGCTTCATGTGATCACAAATAGGTGTTCTGAGGGCAGCCAGATGAAACCATGTGTCTTCTGCTGGCACTTGTTGGAGCAGGTTGTGTACCCTGTCTTGTGAGCTGATTTGAATACATGTGAGAATGCGGTATATCGCCAGAGCAAAGGTTGAGATTACACAGACTACTGATTTGAGAACCACTAAAGCTTCCTTGTAATATGATTCATAGGATATGAATATCCTGGGAGACTGCCATATAGGTGAAAAACTATCTGGTAGCAAGTTTCTTTTGCTTTCTCCAAAACATACTAGCTTTATTTCAAATTCTATTCTGTAATAGTAGAACCAAGGTATCAGTGTATAACATAATTATTTAATTGTACTATGCCTTTATTATTTTAGGAGAATAGATATGTCTTTGGCCGAGCTTCAGAGTAAACAAGCTGTGATCTATGAATCGGAACAGGTTAGTGAATACAATTTTTGATGAGAAATTATCTTATTGTTGGTATACTAATGGCAAGGATATTGGTGGTTGGGAGAGAAAAGGGAGTTACAGTACATGAAGAAGGAGGATTGAAACCCAGGAATCTGAAATTAAAAAGCTCTTCAGGTGATTCTGACTATCAGTCAGGTTCGAGTGAGAATACTGACAAAAGACAAAAATATTCCCTAAGAGGGACAATCCCTAAGGATAACAACTTTGTAAAATTGACACGCAATTACAGCATTTGATATTCATCCCCAAACTCCACACTGTAAAGCTTATGGAAAGTATATTAGATACCTATTTTTTTTCAAAGCAATCTTGTAGAATATATTTTTAAATTGTACATGGAATGAATGCACAGGAACAAAATTTCATTTGATATTGCCCTTCTGTTTACTGCAGAATGTATGAAACATTCTGTGGAATATGAACTAGCAAAATAAGGGAAATAAGGGACTAAATTTCTTTATTCATGTGTTGTGTGTGGTTCCCATCCAACACCTCCCCTCCCACCTCCCATTTCTTTGCTAATTAAAAAGACTGTCTTGACTAGCCAGGAGGGAAGAAAACTGGCTCTTGTTTTAGAAGAATTATATCAAGTTCTAAAAGAACTGCTAATTTATTCATTGAGAATAAAGAGTTTTTGTAGAGGAGATATTTTAATACATTTCTGATAGAATATATAAATAATTTTTTCACTTGTGAAATGATTATAATTTTTGCTGAATTTATGGAGATAGGTTAATTTGTTGAACAAATGATATTTTCAGACAATTTCTAATCATCAAAGTCCTATAATCAACTTACAGGAAATCTGTGCTTTTTTAAAAAAATCACCTATAATTTAGTCATTTAACACAAAATATTATTTGATCATCTTTTCTGGCAGTCTTACTGCTTGCATTTTAACGTAGTCACTGTCATAGTATATGTAGTTTTATATGCTTTTTTCTTTTTACTTGATCCATAATAACATTCCTTTTATGTAAAATCTCTGAATTCGCCATGACCTTTTATGATTGAGGCTTTTAAATTTTGTTTTGAGACAGAGTCCTGGTCTCACCCAGGCTGGAGTACAGTGGTACAATCATGGCTCACTGCAGCCTTGACCTCCTGGGCTCAAGTGATCCTCCCACCTCAGCCTCCTGAGTAGCTAGGACTACAGACATGTACTACCACGCCCGGCTAATTTTTTTATTTTTTGTAGAGACAGGGTTTTTCCATGTTGCCCAGGCTGGTCTTGAACTCCTGGACTCAAGGGATCCACCCACCTCGGCCTCCCAAAGTCCTGGGATTACAGGTGTGAGCCATTGCACCTGGTCCTTGTTAAGTTTTAATTAACTTTTTTCTTTTTTTTTTTTTTTGAGACAGAGTCTCACTCTGTCACCCAGGCTGGAGTGCAGTGGCGTGATCTCAGCTCACTGCAACCTCCACCTCCCAGTTTCAAGCCATTCTCCTGCCTCAGCCTCCCAAGTAGCTGGGATTACAGGCACCCATCATCACACCCGGCTAATTTTTGTATTTTGGTAGAGATGGGGTTTCACCATGTTGGCCAGGCTGGTCTTGAACTCCTATTCAAATGATCCACCCACTTCAGCCTCCCAAAGTGCTGGGATTACTGGCATGAGCCACTGCACCTGGCCTAATTAACTTTTTTCAATAAGCACTTTTCGGCCGGGTGCGGTGGCTCACACCTGTAATCCCAGCACTTTGGAAGGCTGAGGCGGGTGGATCATGAGGTCAGGAGATCAAGACCATCCTCGCTAATAGGGTGAAACCCCGTCTCTACTAAAAATACAAAAAAATTAGCCAGGTGCCTGTAGTCCCAGCCACTCGGGAGACTGAGGCAGGAGAATGGCGTGATCCCGGGAGGCAGAGCTTGCAGTGAGCCAAGATCGTGCCACTGCACTCCTGCCTGGGCAACAGAGCGAGACTCTGTCTCAAAAAAAAAAAAAAAAAGTACTTTTCTATGTTGACTTCCACATAGTCTTTATTACCATAAGTTAAATGATTGTATATTATTCTTTTGACTTAAGTTTACCATGATTTATTTACTCATTCTTCCCTTCCTCTTAATTTTTTTTTTTACATTTGAGTAGCTTCTATTTTTTGTTATTTTAAATATACTATTTTGAATCTGTTTAGGTAGATAATCTTTTCTTTGGGTTAGAGTCTCATAGGTGGGAATCCTGGTTCAATATTAGGAGCTTTTCTGGCTGTTTATTGTCAATTGTGTCTCAAAATATCTGTATTAGTTTACAATACCATTAGCAGGATGAATACAAGATAACTTATCTAGGACTTGTAATTAAGGTTCTTGTTAGATATGGTCTTTGTGCAACTAACAGTATTGTGAATGGTTTGTCTTCTGTCAAAATTCCTCAGACTCTGATCAAAATAATAGATCCGAATGACCTACGACATGACATTGAAAGAAGGCGAAAAGAACGGTTACAGAATGAAGATGAGCACATTTTTCACATAGCTAGTGCTGCAGAGAGGTAATCAGTAGATGACAAACATCCTGTTATCAGGGAGCTTTGGGTTTTACCATAGTTTTACATTTTTTGTGTGATGATAATTTTCATTTTAATATAGGGATTTGCTCCTTCAAATCCGTCTTATATGTTTAAGTGAAATCTATTAAAATGTTTCCAGGTTATTCAGTGATTATCATATGTGGTTTGATTTAAACAACAAAAACTATGGGGTAGGTGGGTATTTGAGGTCTTTATAATTCTGAAGAGGAGTGTTACCGCTTTTAGAATATTAGCAGGAGGCAGGACTGGCAAGTTTGGGGACTATTTAGCTTGAGCTGATTGAAACTCTGATACATTGCGGACTATTTAGCTTGAGCTGATTGAAACTCTGATACATTCTGTGCTTTAGATTCTGGGTTAGTCTTTGAATAGTAGAAAATTTCCTGAAGTCAGTACAGTTATCTTTTGGGACTCTCTGTGGATGTCTGTACTGGATAATTGTGGATAACTGTACTGACAAAAAGTGAAAAAAGTCCACATTTTGTGGATATCGTCCATGAAATTGAGGCAGGTGTAGTAGAAAATGCAGAGGAGACCTAAGTTTGAATCTCATCTCTCTCACTTTACAAGCCGACCAATCTTGGACAAATTTGCTTAGTCTCTGGAGCCTCTTCATCTGTAAAATGATGTTAAAATCAATTTATGCTATGGGGCAGTTATGAATATTAAATGAGCTGGCACATGTGAAGTACTTATGTCATATATGGCAAATAGATCCTCAGTAGATTTTTCTTTCTTAACCTCATACTTCTGTTTAGGGGGCCTCAGTAGTCTAGATCAACCCCAGTTTATCTCTAGTTCTGAATACCACATGGATGGAACTCATGGCAACTCTGGGGCCCCATATGATTATGAGGTATAATTGAACAGGACAGCATTTCCAGTTCACTTGAGTTCTTACACTACTTGGATCTCCCAAAAAGTGAGACTGTATGAATACAAAGAGACAGTGCTAATTGTTTTTCCGTAATCTTTTGTATCAAATTGGTAAGATACTGTATTTGACGAGACCTTTAAGTCAAGTCTGTAGCTAACTAGGTCAGAATACGTGGACTTGATTCTGACAATAAGTTCAGGACTAATTAAAACATGGTGAAACGATGTGTTGAGGCATATAAAACAATTGAAAATGAAAGAGTTAAAATGTTGTCCCTTGCTGTGTGAAAGTCTCCAGTCTCCTAATACGATATGGTTAATGCCTGACATGACTGTGCTCCTTAATGACACAAGCTCTCTGTCATGCTTTCCTTAACTCAACAAGTGTAAGAAACCCCGAGTACCAAGAAACAGGTTTTAAAACCAGATTTAAGACAATCAACATATTTTAAAGATTGTAAGATGCTTTAGGATGTATATTTACCCCTTGACGTGATTAAGAACTTGAGCACTGGAGTTGGACCTGAGTTCAGTGCCTGGCTCTTAGATTCCTAGCTATGTGACCGACTTTGGGCAGATTATTTTGTCTCTGTTTCCTCATCTGTAAAATAGGGATAAGAGTTGTACTTGCCTCACAGTGGTGATTAAAATTAAGTAAAGTGATGAGTGTAAGGTAAAGTAGCTGGTCAGCATTAAGTACTATGAATGCTAGCTTTGAGGACAGTGTGATAGTGTGCAAGGATGTGTTCCTACAAGCTGTCTTTTGCTGGGTCTGTTGGATTATTTTATTTGTATCGGATAGGTGGTGAGGCACAGTGGAGCCATGAGGAATTTTTAAAAGTGAGACATTACTTAACATTCATCCTGCAAAAGTAAACAATTCAGTAGCTTTTAGTGTATTCACGAACTTATGCAACCGTCATTACTATCTAATTCCAAAACATTTCATCACCCCAAAAGTAAACCCTCTACCCATTAGCTGCCACTCCCTGCCCCATTTCTCCTTCCCCCTTAGTCCCTGGCAACCACTGTTCTATTTTCTGTATCTATGGCTTTGTCTAATCCTGACATTTCATATAATCATTTTTTTGTTGTTGTTGTTTTGAGACAGGGTCTCTGTCACCCAGGATGGAGTACAGAGGCATGATCACAGCTCACTGCAGCCTCGACCTTCCGTGAGGCTCAGGTGATTCTCCCACCTCGGCCTCCCGAGCATCTGGGACCACAGGCTCCTGCCAGCATGCCCGGCTGATTTTTCATATTGGTTTTTTTTTTTTTTTTTTTTTTTTTGGTAGAGATGGGGTTTCACCATGTTGCCCAGGCTGGTCTCAGACTCCTGCGCTCAAGGGATCCACCCGCCTCAGTCTCCCAAAGTGCTGAGAGTACAGGCATGAGCCACCACACCTGGCCTGACATTTCATATAAATACGATAATAGAATATGTGGCCTCTCATAACTGACTTCTTTCCTATAGCATAATGTTTTTAATGCTCATCCATGTTGTAGCGTGAGAATTCTTATGCATGGCTGAATAATATTCCATTGTATGGCTGTGTCGTATTATGTTGATCCATTCACCAGTTGATGGACATTTGGGTTATTTCCACTTTTTGTCTATTGTGAATAACTGTGCTGTGAACATTTGTGTGCAAGTTTTTGTGCAGATACCTGTTTTCATTTCTCTTCAATATATGGCTAGGAGTGGAATTGATGAATTTGATGGTTACTCTATGATTAACTTTTTGAGGAACTGCCAGACTGTCTTCCAAAGTGGCTGGACTATTTTACACTTCCACCAGCAGCATGTGACGGGCCCAGTTGCTCCACATCGTTGCCAACTCTTATTATTAATCTCTCACTTTATCCTGATTCAATTTCCTTATTTAAATAAGAAAAATATTTTATCATTTTATCTTAGAAATTCAATTTATAAAAATTGACCTCATTATATATTATGTTTTTATATAAACTTTTAATATCAAGTCAGGGTAGTTTCCACAGAAATGTGAAAGAAATGAAACATGATGCGATCATAAGTCAAAGGATGTAGTGATTTCTCACCTGTGAAGTTTTCCCTCAAAAAATTGTATGCAGCCTCTTTGTCTGTGTTTGCTCACTGGTGTATCCCCACTGCCCTGAGCTCAGTTCATGTTTGTTGAATGAATGGATGAAGAGTTTCCAAAGGAGTAGACAAGACAGAGGATACCTAAATTGTAATGCATTTAGATTTAGGTTACTATTCCCTGATGCCTTAGGATCTTTCACAAGCAAGTCTAACACTTGGGGATTCTGTCTAGCCTCTAGGACCCATCTGTTCTCTACAGGTGCTCCTTAACTTATGATAGGGCAACATCCCGATAACCCACTGTAAAGTAAAAAAATTGTAAGTCAAACCATTGTAAGTTGAGGATGGTCTGGATTTGCTTCCATTTCTTACCCGTTTCTTACTCTAATGTCTCCATGTTTTCTCCCAACACACTATTTCTGCCTTTTCTAACTGTAGTTACTAAGTTTCCTGCAATGTAAATGAGTTGTTTTATTATAGAAGTATGGAGTGTGTTTGATAAAGTAGCTTAAAAATAGTATCAGTGGACTTGAAGAGGACATCAAACTGCCAAGAATTTCTTTTATTTTTTATTTTTTAACAAGGAGTTGGAAGGACAGTCTGTCGTTTAAGCTGGGCAGGTTACGGGAAAACATCAGTTTTTATTCTTGCTATTGCAACAGTCATAATCTATACTGAAGTAGAGTACACTTTATAAAGATATTATATTCATATAGTCAACACGTATTTATATATTGATTTCTTTGTTCTAGTTACTGTTCTAAGGACTGGGGATATAATGAAAAACTATATACAAACCTTTGTCTTCATGTTACTTATAATTTAATGGTAGAAGAAAGAAAAGAAATACATGTCAGTGGAGTGATAGGTGAAAATAAGGCAGAAGAGGAAATTTAATAGCAAAGAGTGACATGTGTGATATGGTTTTATTTAGGGTGGTCATGGAGTACACTTATGACTTTTTTTATTTTATTTTATTTTTTGAGACAGAGTCTCGCTCTGTCACCCAGGCTGGAGTGCAGTGGCGCGATCTCGGCTCACTGCAAGCTCCGCCTCCCGGGTTCAGGCCATTCTCCTGCCTCAGCCTCCGGAGTAGCTGGGACTACAGGCACCCGCCACCGCGCCCGGCTAATTTTCTGCATTTTTTTTAGTAGAGACGGGGTTTCACCGTGGTCTCGATCTCCTGACCTTGTGATCCGCCCGCCTCGGCCTCCCAAAGTGCTGGGATCACAGGCGTGAGCCACCGCGCCCGGCCTCGACTTTTTAAAAAATGTAGCTGGGTTGTGAATTAAGTAAGGGAGTTAGCCATAGGGTTATTTGAGAGGATAGTATTTCAAGAGAGGGAACAGCAAAAGCAAAGACCTTAAGACAGGTGCATGCCTGCTTTTGTTTAAGGAATAGAAAGGGGGACAGTGGGGTTGTGACAGGGTAGTAAAGGGAGAGAGTTAGTAGATGAGGCCAGTCACGAACGACTTTGAAGAACTGAAGGACATGAAGACTTTGTATTTTATTCTGGATGAAGTTAGAAAACATTTTGGGTTGTAACCAGAGAAGAGACATAATCTCACTTAAATTTTAAAAGGATCACTCTGGTTGCTGGGTGGAGAATGGACTGTAAGAGCTAGAGAAAAAAAGTATTTCCTTCTTAAGTAATAAAAAAAGATTAGAGGTAGGAAATCTACATGATAGGGTCGACACGGTAGAGTGGACGCATCAGGGAACCAGGCTGCTTAGATCTTCTTCCTCTCATATCCTCTGTGTGTAGCATCTGCCTCATGATCCAATATGGGTATCTGTGCTTTAGCCATCATGTCCTCATTCTAGCCTTTCCTTTAAAGACTTCTTGAAATTTACACATGATAACTTGTCCAAAATTTAGTCCCATGGCTATGCCTAGCTGCAGGGCAGCTGGGAAATAGATTCTTTAATCTGAGCATTCATTTGCCTGGTCAAAAATCAAGTATCAAAGGATTTAATTTTTATATTGTGACAAAATATACATATCCTAAATTTACCATTTTAACCATTTTTAAGTGTAAAATTCATTGACATTGAGTATATTCACTTGTACAATCATCACCAGGTGTTTGTATCCACTTGCAGAACTTTTTCATCTTCACAAACAGTAACTCTGTTTCCGTTGAATAATAACTCCTCATGCTCTCCTGGCTGCAGCCCCTGGTAACTTCTATTCTTTCTGTCTATATGAATTTGCCTATTGTGGGTATCTAAGTAGAATCAGACAATATTTGTCCTTTTGTCTCTGGCTTCTTTCACTTAGCATAGTGTTTTCAGGGTCAATCCATGTTGTATCATGTGTCAGAATTTCATTCCTTTTTTAAAAAAATTTATTCTCTTTTAAGGCTGAATAATACTCCATTGTATGGCTGTACTACATTTTGTTTATCTGTTTTTCTGTTTGTGGACATTTGTATTGCTTTCACCCTTTGGCTATTGTAAATAGTGCTGTTATGAACATTGGTATTGTCATCTTTTTGGTTATAGCCATCCTAGTTAGTGTAAAGTGGTATCTCATTGTATTTTTAATTTGCATTTCTCTGATGACTAATGATGTTGAGCATCTTTCCATGTGCTTATTGGCCATTGGTATTTTTTGGAGAAATTTCTATTCAAATCCTTTGCCTATTTTAAAATCAAAGTCTTTTTATTGTTGAGGTGTAGGAGTTCTTTGTATATTCTGGATATAGCTCCCTTATCAGATATATGCTTTGCAAAGAGAATTTTAAAAAATCCATTGCTTTGTTTGTAGAAGTAGTCATATACACTAATGGTAATCATTTGGAAAAATATAATAAAGTATAAAATCAAAAATATAAGGCATTCCTGATTTTACCAGTCAGAGATGACCACTGTTAATATTTAGTACATTTCTTGTCATTTATTTTTTTCTGGGCACATATGTGTATATTTTAAATAGTTGAAATTATCCTCATTACACAGCTTTGCACTTTACTCTTTTGACCTATTGTCGTCAGCGTTTTGACAAAACATAGGCCTTTTTAACATTTAAAAAAACACTGAGTGTCTATTTCATGTCAGATTCTGGGATCAGAACTGGGACCACAAAATGAATCATCCGCAGTGCTTCCTCTGAAGGAATAGCAACTTGTTCTGTTAAACAGACAGGTACACCAGTAGTTACAAATACGGAGTGATAGGTGTTAAGACCCAAAAATGCTACATGCGCACATACCAGGGAGCACCTAGTTCACCTCAGAAGGGTTTAGGAAACTCTTCCTTGAAGAGATATAAATGGATCTAAATCTTTAAGTTAATCAAAGTAGAAGGAAATGGTCACAGAAGGAACTGCACATGCAAAGGTGTAGAAGCAGGAGAGACTGCTGGGTGCCGGGAACTACATGAGCTTCAGTATTCCCGGCTGGGCGCGGTGGCTCACGCCTGTAATCCCAGCACTTTGGGAGGCCACGGTGGATGGATCACTTGAGGTCAGGAGTTCAAGACCAGCCTGGCCAACATGGTGAAACCCCGTCTCTACTAAAAATCAAAAAAATTAGCGGGGCATGATGGCACGTGCCTGTAATCCTGGCTGCTCGGGAGGCTGAGGCAGGAGAATTGCTTGAACTTAGGAGGTGGAGTTTGCAGTAAGCCAAGATTGCGCCACTGCACTCCAGCCTAGGCAACAGAGCAAGACTCTGTCTCAAAAACAAGCAAACAAAAATCCTAAGGCTCAGTATGCCTGTTGGGGAGATTGGAGCAAGGTAGCAAGGGCCAGAGCAGAAAGGGCCATGGGGTCACGATGAGGAGTGTGGAAGTTATCTTGTTGCCAGTGGGGAATCCATGGGAAAGACTGAAGGTGGGCCTGTGGAAGACACAGGAAGGGGCTGAGAAGCATTGTGGAGAGATGCAGGGTGTGACACGGAGAGGAACCCCCAAGGGCTGTGGAAATGAGGCTTTGGAGATCAGAGGAAGAGTCCAGGGAAGGACCTCCTTCCCAGATAGGGCTGCCTGAGAAGAGCCCTTTGTGGCCTCAGGACCTCATGATGACGGGAGAGAGGAGGCTGTCGTTCCCTGCTGTGGCCCTGCAGTATCAGAGGCCTCAGCTCTGCCAGTGAGGGGACCCTGAGCCAGTCATACACCTTGCCTCTGATGAATGGGCTGGGTCATGAGCCATTGGTGCTTCCACCAGTAAGAGCCTGTTAGCAAGAAGGGGAGGGGGGCAGTGCTGCCAAAGGTTCTAGAGCAGTAATTATCTTTACATAAAACACACATTTCACATATGGTTTCGGGGGTTACAGCCCCCAGGAAGCCTATCCTTAGACCCCAGATTGAGAACCCTGGTTCAAGGAATGTTTTTCCCCATTGCTAACCTCCAACTTAGGTAAATAACATTTGTTGGAAAATGAGGCAAAATGACGGGTTTAGGCCTAATGACTATCATTTGTAATTTTAGTAGTGATAGATCATTGAGATTTAATTTATGTGCTACTTTAATTGTTTCTGAAGGGGCTTTTTAAAATTATTCTTGTTTATTTGTTGGAAAAAAAGTTATACTAATAAAATATTCTTTTTTTCTCTCTTTCCTTATTAGGGAAGATCAGAGTTCCAGTTTTTCAAAGGTAAAGAATGTTCATACTGATGGATTCCAAAAACCCATGCATTTTGTAAAATCAAATTTTAAAAAATGTATTGAAAAACCTTACATGGTAAGATCACAGTTCTAAAATTTTCGTTTTTATAATTTCTTCTTCTCCAATACATCGGAATGTACAGGGATCACCAATACTTTTCACGTTTGTAACTGTTCATTAAGTATATGTTATAAGATTCCGTTGATACGTAAAGTTATTATGACAGAAGAAATGGTCATTTCTTACTTGATTTAGTAGCATTTTATTGGATTCATTAAATAAAGCTAATAAATCTAGCTTTCTTAAGATTTTCTGGGGGGCCAGGTGCAGTGGCTCATGCTTGTAATCCTAGCACTTTGGGAGGCCAAGGCAGGAGGATTTCTTGGGCCCAGGAGTTCAAGAGCAGCCTGGGCAACGTGGCTAGACCTCATCTCTACAAAAAAAATAATAATAATAAAAAAATTTCAAAAAAGATTTTTTGGGAACAACTCTTAAGCTCTCTTGGAACATATTTATTAAGGCATAATTTACATACCATAAAATTCACCCATTTTAGGTGTACAATTTAATGATTTTTAGTAAATTAACCAAAGCGTGCAACCATTACCGTAGTCTACTTTTAGAATATTTTCATTACCCAGTATGAGCCCTCATGCCTGTTTCGTTACTCCCCTTTGCCACCCCCAGCCAACACTAATCTACTTTCTGTCTTAAAGATTTGCCTTTATATAGAGCAGCTCACAAAATGGCAGCTAGCTTCCATAAGAACAGGCAAGTAATGGCGAGAAAGATGGAAGCCAGAGTTGGTAACCTAATTTCACAAGTAAAATCTCATCCTTTACCATATTCTTTTTGCAAGAAGCAGCTTCCTAGGTCCTGCCCACATTCAAAGGGAGGAATAATTGGTTGGATCACTGGGAGCCATGTCAGCAGTTGCCTAGTACAGTCCTTCCTCTGGCCAGACTCCACAGAAAGTGGAAATAATAGAAGGTGATAAGACTGTTGATCTTGGAAAAAGGAAACCATCTTGAGAATGGGCCCCATCTTTTCTGTTTCCACCGGCTAAAAATGTAATCTATTCTGTTTCCACCAGAGGATTTTGGTTCCTCATAGTTACAGACTTACTAATGTAGTTCTTTCTCTTATTTCTGATACTTTTCTAGCCATGGCAAGAGCATCACCTCAAATCAATTACCTGAGTCAGGAATACCTGCCTCCTACAATGTTGAGGATTTGTATTCTTAGGCAGTAGGAACCCTTTAGCAACTCCTGATAGTGATGGGTTCATTTCTCTCCTAGGTGCCTGAATAAATGCTAGATATATCCTCGATTTTCTCAAACTCACTCATTATGTTATACACGAGTATGTTTTATACTTGTTACAGTCATAAATGATCCTGGCTCCTCACAAACTGGCATGGATCATGGTAGTCAAGGTCGAGGATCAAGTTAGCATGGGTCAAGGAGGAGATATGTATGTGCTCTACGGCTAAGCTCCCTGCTCCCTGCTTTGTGTTCTTAATCCTGTACATTTAAAATGTGTTTTCTAATGGTAAACAAGCTTTTAAAATAAACTTTAAAGTCTATTAACCCACACTACTTCTTTTTTTTCATGCAGAATTATACTACGCAGAGAAAAGACATAATTACTCACAAACCATTTCAGGTTGAGGGAAATCGCCGAAACACGAGAGTAAGACCTTTCAAGGTATTGAGTGTTGTTTTCCATTTAATTCCAGCTTTGGTTTTATGCTTTGGACATAATGTTTTAGTGTTAGTAAATCAAGAGCTGTTTTGTAATATGATTTCAAATGGTAGCTATAAACTAGTATTTCTGGACATTTGTAGTTAACTGTAATCAATTTATTGATGACCCCTTTCCTTAGGACTTGATTTTCAATTTTTTTTTTTTTTTACCAGTAGAATCCTTTTTCAAATATTACATGGAAACACAAATACATAAAACAGATGCAGGTGGATTGGCTCTGGGTGGGGAGACAGGCAAGACTGCAGACCCTCCCTTTAAGCCAGAACCTTTACCTCTAAGATACACGTGCAGAGCTGTAGAGCTTTCTCCAAGAATCACAGATTGAAAAGCCCTGCCATGGACACACAACCCTTAGAGGTGTTCTGGATCATCACAGGAAGATTCTGGTGCAGGTACCTTTGTTAAAGCATATTTTATCACACTCTAATTATTGGTACATCTGTATCTGATATGAATGATAATTTTTAATCAACCAGTATGTTTGATTATCCAGAACACCTCATCCCCCAAATATATGGAGTTAGAATTATAATACAAAGTATTATATTTCTTTTTTTTTTTTTTTTGAGACGGAGTCTCCCTCTGTCATCCAGGCTGGAGTGCAGTGGCGTGATCTCGGCTCACTGCAACCTCTGCCTCCCGGATTCAAGCTATTCTCCTGCCTCAGCCTCCCAAGTAGCTGGAATTACAGGCACGCGCCACCATGCCCAGCTAATTTTTGTATTTTTAGTAGAGACAGGGTTTCATCATGTTGGCCAGGCTGGTCTCGAGCACCTGACCTCAAGTGATCACCCACCTTGGCCTCCCAAAGTGCTGGGATTACAGGCTTGAACCACTGCACCCGGCCCATATTTCTGTCTCCTTGCTCACAAAAGTTGAGGTGCTTTTAAAATCAATTTTGACAGTTTCTTGCCTGTAATAGGTACTTTATTCATATTTTTCACTCATATTGTCTCCCTCCCCTAAATAAAGGAAAGAATTTGAGCTTTTTGTGTAAAAGTGGCAGGCAGGCTTGATAGAGTAGTTAGCTCATTAGGAGGAAGTTAGTATGAACAGAAAAGTAGTAGAAACTATCTAAAATTATGGACTAGAAGGTTAGTTGAGTGAGATCTATTAATATTGGCTTCTTGAGAGTCAAAATTTATAGATGTTGAAAGATTTTATTCAACGAGAGTAACATAATTTGTAGGCATTGAATAGATTACATTTTTAGCCAGTGGTTTGTATATCTAAGAACATGTGTGACACGAAGTTTTTAAAAATAATTACAGTCATAGAATATATACGTGTTTTATGCCATCTTTTGATCTCTTGAGTAATGGGGCATCACATCAACTGAAAATGTGATGTCTGCATAACTTATAGACAATATAGATGGGCTTTCAGATCTAAGTGCTTCCTACATGTTCTGATTGGTCAGATATAGTTGATTATAGTATTTTTCCAAAAGCATCATAAGATTTATTTTCTGTTACCTTTTTTCTTTAAGGGAAGATACTTTAAAATAAATTCATAGAAAAATGTTTTCAAGATATATATAACTTTACCTCTTGAGCAATCATTTAAAGTTATATAATGTTACATGAATGCTTAGAAGTGTACAATTCTTTGTAGTAAAATAGTGGGAAGAAATAATCCTTCCTAAGAAAAGGAAATATTTTGCTTGGGTACTGTAGCTCACACCTGTAATCCCAACACTTTGGGTGGATCACTTGAGCTCAGGAGTTCGAGAAGAGCCTGGGCAACATGGCAAAACCCCGTCTCTACAAAAAACACAAAAATTAGCTGGGCATAGTGGTGTGCACCTGTAGTCCCAGCTACTCAGGAGGCTGGGGTGGGAAGATCGCTTCAGCCTGGGAGGCAGAGGTTGCAGTGAGCCGAGATTGTGCCACTGCCCTCAGGCCTGGGCGACACAGCGAAGAGACCCTGTTCCAAAAGGAAAAAAAAAAAAAAGGAAATATTTTGCTATAATTTACTTTTTACATGAATTGGACTAGTTCAAAGCGACATAGTAATCATCTTAGAGGACATGTAGAAATGGATTGCGTCAGTCTCAAGATTAGCTCTGATGTGTCAGGTTTGTGCAGATAGTCTTAACATTAGTGTCTCATTATAATTCTGTTTTACCTGAAATTTTCTGTAGCCCGAAGAAAATAATTGAAAAATAGGCCTGGCATAAATTTTTTTTTGTAAAATTATGTGCTTCATTATGTCTGACATACCCATTTCTGAAATAATTGTGAAAAGAGGAATCTGCTTGGTTTTGTTAACTATTCCACTGTAATACATCATTTGTGCATTTGTTTTCCCAATATGGCTCATAATCTGTTTCCTCTTATTAAGTACTCTGAGGATGGAAGTTAGATAAAATCAACCAAACACTAAATTTCAAAAAGAATAAAATCTATTTCTTTGGCCAAGTCTTTGAAAATTATTACAGAGCCATTGTACTTATTCTATTTAGATGCCTATATATTAGGCCATAATTTTAAAGCCATGGTTCAGTCTAGCATACATTTTGGCTTTCACTAAATTAGTAGCTTAATATTTTTGATGTTATGGGTCTTGCTGCAGCCAGTTCTCCCCTTTCACAACTTCGTAACTGTCTTCTTGTTAAGAAGCAACAGCAGCTCGAGTAACAACAACTCACCTAAGACCTAATCTCTTTTCCTCCTGGCATTGCTTTAGTTGCTGGTTAATCTGAACTTTATTATCAAAGGGAAACAAATAGTGTTTAAAGAGGGTTGTTATTTAATGCAGCCATTGTAGTGTTTGTAAACAATTTTATTGACTTCTTTAGAGGTTAATAGTGTATTCAACCTTATAATAGTTTATTTAGGAGTTATTATTGTTTAGCTCTTCATGTTGAGGAAATCTTGACTCATATCTGGCCGGGCATGGTGGCTCACGCCTGTAATCCCAGCACTTTGGGAGGCTGAGGCGGGCAAATCACTTGAGGTCAGGAGTTCGAGATCAGCCTGGCCAACTTAGTAAAACCCTGTATCTACTAAAAATACAAAAATGAGCTGGGCGCAATGGCATGTACCTGTAGTCCCAAGTACTCTGGAGGCTGAGGCAGGAGAATCGCTTGAACCCAGGAGGCAGAGGTTGCAGTGAGCCCAGATTGCACTACTGTACTTCAGCCTGGTTGACAGAGGGAAACTCTATCTCAAAAAAAAAAAAAAAAAAAAAAAAAAAATCTAGACTCATATCTGTAAAGGTGTATAAATATTTATTCAGACCCTAACTTTCTATAAACGAAATGTGCTTTTGTTTGCTTTTGTAATTTTGGCTTCTGTTTTCAGCCTTAATCATTTACAAATAGTAAACTCTTTCCCTGAAACATTCTAAAAGGGGCCACTATTAGTTTCATCCCATTTGATTGGACCCTGGTCATGTAGTAGTTGGAATGTGACTCAGGGATGTTTTTTATTAAAAACAAAGAAAGAATTTGATTTAAAGACAAAACTCTTCCCATGCAACTTTGTGATGAAACATTTACATGTAACTAGGTTGTCTTTTCCTTTTTACTTGAGAAAATTGAGAAGATAAGAACAAATTAGCAGATAATAAAGTTTATGTATCAATCTTCTGAGTAAAATTCTGATTTTATTTTTAAAAAACACATTTGGGAATAAATTTAGTATGCAACGGCTGCTATTTTAAAGATATAGAATGTATAGCTTTTATTCTGACACTTGTACCTGCCTAATAAATGAGCACTGGTTGAGTTCTTAGCTCTTGAGTGGTAAGGCAAATGGAAGAATAAGACTTCCTGCTTGTGCCATTCAAATTAAATGCTCTTTTGTGCTTTTCAAGCATGGAGAGCCCTTTTCCTGGATCTTGGTAGACTCCTATTGGCAAAATCAGAAGGAGTAGCTGCGTCTCTAGTGCTCAGACCCAGCATCTCTACTCATTTTCAGCCCCTGAAGGAAAAGAGGTGGATCTGTTTAGTCTTTGTACCTTGCATATGATATTAGGTATGAATTTTGTTAAATAAGCTCAGAACAGTTTTATAGTTTACTATGCCTGAGAGAGGACGCTGGATCACCAAAGTCTTTCTTTCTCTACCATATTTCTGTCTACTTCTTGGAATTAGATCTTCCAATATTCAAGTTATGCTGAACTGATCTTGTTAAAACTTTCATTCAGCCCAGGGTTTTTCTTCGTATGGCTTCAAGTTTATTTTCTATAGGAGAATTTAATTGAATGATTTTGGGGAAGAAATCGCTTTCATAGTCAAGAACTTAATGCAGCTTCTTCCAGTAAGTTGGCAAGTAGCTAAGTTTTTAAGATTTAGCAGGGCAGAGATAGACTCCATCTATGAACCTTTGTGCCACTGCTCCCATCTGTTTTAGATTATTCTAGGAGGATGCTTGGAAATGTGGGGAGACACGAGCAGTGTGTGATATGGGAAAGTGAGGGAGGGAGATTTGGAGAAGTGTTTGGGAAGGTTTGGAGAGGACTGGTTCACGACTGACAAAACTGAGGACTGTTTTCCTCTTCCACCCCCAGCAGTAAATTAACAAGGGACCATTTCTCTTATCAACCACATGAGAAACACACAAACATCCGTTGTCCTCTTATGTCTAATGTAGTGCTGCACAATATATGCACGTTAGGAAATGTTCTTTTTAAGTAATCGGTCTTTTGTAGTAAAGAAAGATTTGTTTGAAGGTATTAACAGGAATAAAGTTAAAATATTTTTTGATTCTTAAATAGATACTGATACTTAATATCTTTCCCTCTCATTGGGATTTGATATATTTCACTATGAATCAGAAGAATAATTTTAGTTCATTGGAGGTTCTGAACATTTTATTTTGTTAGCTTGATAAATTTCAAGAATTAATTTCAAATTCTTTTCTTTTTTTATTTTTTTGTAGAGACAGGGTCTCGCTCTGTTGCCCAGGCTGGTCTTGAACTCCTGGCCTCAAGCAGTCCTCCTACCTGTCTCCCAAAGTGCTGGGATTGTAGGTGTGAGCCACTGTGCCTGCCCTCAAAATCTTTTAACTTAACAGTTTTCAAAATTTGGTTTGATATAGGTTTGGTTGTTGTCGTTTTGTTTTTTTGAGACAAGGTCTTGCTCCGTCACCCAGGCTGGAGAGTGGTTGCACAATCACAGCTTACTGTAGCCTCTACCTCCAAGACTCAAGCTATCTCACACCTCAGCCTCCTGAGTAGCTGGGACTACAGGCATGAGCCACCATGCCCAGCTAAGAATAAAAATTAAAAATATATATTAATATATAAAATGAGCTAGGAAGCCAGCTTGAGAGAAACATACTTTGTCACCATCATGAACTCTTTCTGTTTTAATATCTATAAGGCCTAGAATCCAGACAGCTCCAAGTATCAGACAGTTTTTCATCTGTTTTTTGTTTTGTTTTGTTTAAGACAGGGTCTTACTCTGCCACCCAGGCTGGAGTGCAGTGGCGCTCTTTTGTGCTTTTCAAGCATAGAGAGCAGTGACTCGCTACAACCTCCGCCTCCCAGGTTCAAGCAATTCTCCTGCCTTACCCTCCTGAGTAGCTAGGATTACAGGCGCCTGCCACCACACCTGGCTAATTTTTGTATTTTTAGTAGAGACAGGGTTTCACCATGCCAGGCTGGTCTCGAACTCCTGACCTCAAGCAATCAGCTTGAGGAGTTCTGCCTCGGTCTCCCAAAGTGCTGGCATTACAGGCGTGAGCTACTGCACCCAGCCACCCACTCATCTGTTTACTAATAAAGTAGACTTGGAAAGTGTAGTTTTAACATTTAATTCCTTTTTTTCCTTCACAGAGCAACTTTAGAGGTGGCAGATGCCAGCCCAATTATAAATCAGGCCTGGTACAGAAGAGCTTGTACATTCAGGCTAAGTATCAGCGTTTACGGTTCACTGGCCCAAGGGGATTTATCACTCATAAATTCAGAGAAAGATTAATGAGAAAAAAGAAGGTTAGTTGAATTATAATGATTTAAAAATGTTTAGTGATATTTAAACTCCTAAATTATCTATGTTCATTAGATAAATTGGTTTTTCATTTAATTTTAAGAAACAACCTGGGTTTTTAAATGTTCTTGTCGCATGATAGTTGAATAAGAACCTCAGGGAGGTAATGGTAATACAGTTGTGAGACTGCGTAACCTTAAAATGCTTTTAGGCATCATGCCTCAAATACTTTGCATATGTTAGCTGTTTGAACTTTTGACTTTAGAATTTCTGTTGTATGGTTAATCTTTGAAATGGAAACTCAGGTAAAGGCTTTTAATTGATGTATTTTAGTCTTACACAATTATCTGAGTGAATTATCTGAGTGCCAAAAAAAATTTGAATATATACAAAGGGTGCGTAATTGCAAAATACACTAACTCTTTCTTTTCCCCATTCATGTATTTTTTTGTTGTGGTAAAATATGTATAATACAGAATTTGCCATTTTAACCATTTTTAAGTAGCATTAAGTACATACAGTTCAGTGACTCTAATTTCATTCAGAGTGCTATGCAATCATCACCATTATATGCTCTTTTTCAATATGTTTTTAATCGACAAGTAAAAATTACATCTATTTATGGTGTTCAACATGATGTTTTGATATATGTATACATTATGGAATGGCTAAATCAAGCAAATACCTATTACTTCACATACTTATTTTTTTGTGTTGAGAACACTTAAAATATACTCTCTTAGCAATTTTCAAGTGTACAATATATTGTAATTAACTGTAGTCACCATGATGTATAATACATCTTTTGAATGTATTCCTTCTGCGTAACTGAAATTTTGTGTTGATGCTTTGACCAACTTCTTCCCAATCCCTCCAGCCTCTGGTAACCACAATTTTGCTCTGTTTCTATGAGTTTGACTTTTTTTTTTTTGATTCCACATATAGGTGAGATTATGTGGTATTTGTGTACCTGGCTTATTTCACTTAACATAGTATCCTTCAGATTAATCCATGTTGTCATAAATGACAGGATTTCCTTCTTTTTAAGGCTGAATGGTATTCCATTGTATATATATACATTTTCTTTATCCATTCAGCCGTTGATAGATACTGAGGTTGATTCCATTATGCTAATGCTTAATGTGTTTATTCCTAACTCCCCAAACTTGTTAATAACTCTTCTTTAAATTTTTTAAGTTTTTACTTTTTGGGACAGAGTTTTGCTCTTATTCCCCAGACCGGAGTGCAATGGCACGATCTCAGCTCAGTGCAACCTCCGCCTCCTGGGTTCAAGTGATTCTCCTGCCTCAGCCTCCCAAGTCGCTGCAATTACAGGCACCTGCCACTATGCCTGGCTAATTTTTGTATTTTTATTAGAGACGGGGTTTGTCCATGTTGGCCAGGCTGGTCTCGAGCTGCTGACCTCAGGTGATCCACCCTCCTCGGCCTCCCAAAGTGCTGGGATTACAGGCGTGAGCCAACATGCCAGGCCGATAACTCTTAATGTTAATAAAAAGTTTCTTTACTTGGTAATTGGAATTGCATACTCTTTTAGTTGTGGATTGATTTTCTTTGAATGAACCATGTTAGTATTTGAAAAATCAGCATAAGGCCAGGAGTGGTGGTTCACACCTGTAGTCCCAGCACTTTGGGAGGCCGAGGAGAGAGGATCGCTTGAGCCCAGGAGTTCGAGACCAGCCTGGGCAACATAGCAAGACCCTACCTCTAGAAAAAAAAAAAAGATAAATAAACTGGGCATGGTGGTATGTGCCTGTAGTCCCAGCTACTTGGAAGGCCGAGGTGGAAGGACCACTTGAGCCTAGGAGGTCAGGGCTGCAGTGAGCTGTGATCACACCACTGTACTCCAGCCTGGGTGTAAAAGAAAAAAAAAAAAAGCAGGGGGGCGGGGGGGGAGAGAGAGAGAGAGTGAGAGAGAGAATGCAGCATAAATATGCCATAAAATTAACTTCTACAAAATAATTATATTTTAAATGAGAATTGCTGGGTATACTGGTACATGCCTGTAGTCCCAGCGACTTGAGAGGCTGAGACGGAAGGATAGCTCGAGCCCAGGAGTTCAATGCTAGCCTGGGCAACATAGCAAGACCCCCAATTTTTTAAAAAAAAGAACAGGAAGAGAAAAAAGGAGATGAGAACAGTAGCATTATATCAGTAAATGAGGCATGTTTGTCAATTCATAGGCTCATTTTTGCTCATGATTTGAGGCTAATATTTTCTTCTGAGAAATGTATGTATCTCTGGTATTGCTATTGAATAGCCCAACTGTGGTTTTATAACTTATTATCACAAATGTGTTCTTAAATACTTACACTTATGAAGCCTTTACACTGAGCTTGCTTAATGATTTTAGTAAATCTTAACACTTTTCAAAAGATGAATGAGTAGAATGAAGTTGGCAACTTATTTATGTTTTAGAGTTAAATAGAATATCTTATGTTACACACATACACCTCCAGCTTTAACTGAGTACCTTAGAAGATTTCTAATTTCACCATGTATGTCACTCATGGTTTTAGGAAAGCCATCTCTTTATTTATTTATTTTTGAGATGGAGTTTCACTCTTGTTGCCCAGGCTGGAGTACAATGGCACCATCTCAGTTCACTGCAACCTCTGCCTCCTGGGTTCCAGTGATTCTCCTGCCTCAGCCTCTTGAGTAGCTGGGATTACAGGTGCCTGCCACCACGCCCAGCTAATTTTTGTATTTTTAGTAGAGACGGGGTTTCACCATATTGGCCAGGCTGGTCTCGAACCCCTGACCTCATGTGATCCACCTGCCTCGACCTCCCAAAGTGCTGGCATTACAGACATGAGCCACTGCGCCCAGCCCCATCTCTTTTTTTTTTTTTTTTTTTTTTTTTTTTGAGATGGAGTCTCGCTCTGTCGCCCAGGCTGGAGTGCAGTGGCCGAATCTCAGCTCACTGCAAGCTCCGCCTCCCGGGTTTATGCCATTCTCCTGCCTCAGCCTCCCCAGTAGCTGGGACTACAGGTGCCCGCCACCGCGCCTGGCTAGTTTTTTTGTATTTTTTAGTAGAGATGGGGTTTCACCGTGTTAGCCAGGATGGTCTCAATCTCCTGACCTCGTGATCCACCCGTCTCGGCCTCCCAAAGTGCTGGGATTACAGGCTTGAGCCACCGCGCCCGGCCCCCATCTCTTTTTTTAAAGTGTCGATGGAATCATTTTCCTATCTTGTGTATCTCCCCACCGTCAGGCTGTGCCAGGGCTTAGGTAGAGATGCTGCTTCTCTTCCTGCCTGGTGTGGCAAGTTTCTTTGCAGCAGACGTTTCAGGTATTTGTCCCCAGTCACAGATGGCAGCCTGACTGTTTTCAGGGGAGCTAGTCATTGATTCTCACTCAAGGAAAATGACTGCGGCAGGCCTTCTCTTCAGTTTCAAGGTTGGGTGTCTGGTACATGGTGACTGTTTTCTTTTAGCTCTGTGCTAAACTTGGAGTTTTAGCTTGACTCTAGTTTTGCTCCATCTTTTTCAGTGACTTGGGGCTGCTGAGTGCTTACCTGACTCCTGGCTTCAGCTTATCGTTTCTATATATCATGAATCTTGCTCCATTTTGTTATGCTTTTCTTTGCCTCAGTTTGCCCAATTCCTGCTGACCACCCCATTCTTCCAGACTACATTGCTCACCAGCCCCGCTTCACAGCAAATAGAAATCAGAAATCAGGCCTTCATCACAGGACATAAGAAGTATATCCTAGAAGAAGCTACAGGCTGCTACGGGTTTCCAATCTTTAGGCCTAGGCTGTTTGTATCATCTAAAATGTAGCAGTTATAGTTAGGGTTCAGTGCTGGTCACAGCCTAACCTTCCTGTTGCCCTTCACTGCCGTCTGGCTGCATTAGCAGTGTCTCAACACACTGAATTTTTTTTTTTAATTAGTATCTACTATTCTTTCAGTGTCTACTACCTGTTTTTCTTAAGCCCACCCTTCTGGATGCTGCTTCATATATCTTTCTATTGCAGCCACTTTGACATGGAGTTTTCCAATCTGACTACTCTCAGTGCCTGCAAGCAAGCCAGAGCCAGAATTTTTATAGATTTGTGTTTGAATAAAGCCCAGCTCTACGAGTACAGCATCAACTCAGTTACCTTACTATTAACACCCTACTCAACAGCTGGGCTCCATCTCCTAACCTTTAGAGAAAGGAATGAGGCATTGAAGCTGTTCTGTTTGTGCCAGGGTCTGAAGTAAGATACATGAGACTAACTTGGCCTTTCAGCTGTCCGAGTAGTATTGTGTACTCTGAAATCCCATTCCATGTGTATAAACTGATGGCTTAGACCTATTAGTCCATTTTATCTGAGGCCTTTGTGCCCTCAAAAAAAGAATGAAGGTCTGGAGACTCTGGTTTCTTCCAGTGTTGCTTTCCCTTTCCCTTAAATTAGGGACATTTTTGCTCAAGTAGGGTTCCTGGGTGTGAGGTACCATTTATATGACTCTTCATCCCAAGCTTTAGCATCAGAGGGAACTTTGAAGGTTCTTCCTTAGAGGGAAATCTTAGTCTGAGCAGCATCTCTGCACTGCTTTGGCTTTTTGCCCCGCTAGAAAGTTCATTCTTTTGGCAGTTATTAGACCACCACCTAGACTCATTAAGGATGCATCATTAATTAATCTAAGTGCCCTGGAACCTTCTTGAGTCTGAAATTGGATGTGAACCTACTTATTCCCATATACCTTAAAGTCCACCAGGAAGATTTAGACATCTTGCCTGGACTCCTCACTCCCCTGCCATATTGAAATGCTTGGGTGATCACTCATGGCTGGGAGGTCTTGCATTTCCTCATCTGTACAGTCTGGTGATTGTGCCATCCTATGCCATGCACTTCCTATCTCCAACAAAAAGCAGCTTTGGGGAGTGGTGGTGGTGGTGGGGATCATAGATGTGCTCCTAATACATCTTCTGCTTCCACTTACCAGAATGATGGTGGCTTCCCTAAACTGCATTGCTCTCCAGCTGCCTACAAAGTAGT